TAATACTTCGTTAGCTACACCTATACTGTAGGGTATTGAAAATGTTTTCTTTGTTAACCGAAGAAAACATTCTCAATACCCTGCAGTATAGGTGTAGCCAACTTACCTCTGAGGCAGAACTCTTAACACGAACAGTTTTGAGGGCGGGCTAGCCTCTAAGTGGCCTGTAGGGTATTGAGAATGTTTTCTTCGGTTAACAAAGAAACATTCTTCAATACCCTACAGTATATGCCTCAGAGGTAAGTTAGCTACACCTATACTGCAGGGTATTGAGAAACCCTGCAGGCCACTTAGAGGCTAGCCCGCCCTCAAAACTGTTCGTGTTAAGAGTTCTGCCTCAGAGGTAAGTTGGCTACACCTATACTGCAGGGTATTGAGAATGTTTTCTTCGGTTAACAAAGAAAACATTTTCATACCCTACAGTATAGGTGTAGCTAACGAAGTATTACCTCTGAGGCAGAACTCTTAACACGAAACAGTTTGGAGATACCTCTGAGGTTACCTCTGAGGCATATACTGGCTAGCCCGCCCTCAAAACTGTTCGTGTTAAGAGTTTTGCCTCAGAGGTAATACTTAGTTAGCTACACCTATACTGTAGGGTATTGAAAATGTTTTCTTTGTTAACCGAAGAAAACATTCTCAATACCCTACAGTATAGGTGTAGCTAACTAAGTATTACCTCTGAGGCAGAACTCTTAACACGAACAGTTTTGAGGGCGGGCTAGCCTCTAAGCGGCCTGTAGGGTATTGAGAATGTCCGTCAGTCCAAAATATGCTAGCAGCCCAGGCAGATGGTGACAATGACGCCATATGATGACTCCCCTCTGTGGTCAGAAGGCAATTTCAAAGAAGAATCAACCTTCTGACCGGGAAGGGAAGTTTGTATCATATGGCGTCATGGCTACTTGTCCTAGTGTTCTGCCACCATCTGCCTATGCCAATAGTATATTTTGACTGGCAGACAATAATCAATGATAGCGTCCTTCAGCATGTCAATGGTGAGCCGCATCAAGGCAGAATTGAGATCTACATAACACATTATCTATCTAAGACATGTAGTAGATAATAGTTGCTTTGGTCTGTGCAGCGTTTGATTATTATACACTACTGTGCTTTTGCGCTTGCTTTCTTAATAAGGCTCTTTGCTAATATACACACGGTCACGTGACCTTTTCAGCCGGCAGCAAATAAAGTGCATCCATCAACATACATTTTCAAATACAAAGTACGAGTGACAATAAATTTTACTACAAGTAAGCAAACAAATAAAGTAACAAATACAAAAGGGGAGGCGAGACTTCAATGAGGGGGCCCTCCTCACCAAAGCCTCAACACTCCAGGTGAAAATGTATGTAGCAAATATATATATAATACAATACAAATTTGTCCTGTAGAAACGTTAGACCGAAATTTAAGACAAGATTAACACTTAACTAGAGAGCACTTGCCACACAAAAGTACCGGCAGGTTCAGCAGTCTAGAGAACAAACAGATCAGTTAAGGTCATCAGGAATTGAGCGCTTACCACCATTAAAAAGTTGGAGCAGGCTATTAAAAAGTCGGAGCAGGAGCCACTGACAAGTGGCATGCACTGCGATACCGCCAATTCCAAGAAGCAGGAGCCACTGACAAGTGGCATGCACTGCGCTGAGCCCCAGTCCCAATAAGCAGGAGCCACTAACAAGTGGCATGCACTGCGATACCGCCAATTCCAAGAAGCAGGAGCCACTGACAAGTGGCATGCACTGCGCTGAGCCCCAGTCCCAATAAGCAGGAGCCACTAACAAGTGGCATGCACTGCGCTACCGCCAATTTCAAGAAGCAGGAGCCACTGACAAGTGGCATGCACTGCGCAACCCCCAGTTCCTATAAGCAGGAGCCACTGACAAGTGGCATGCACTGCGCAACCCCCAGTTCCAATAAGCAGAATACTAAATAGAACAGACATTAGCAAACGGACGCGAGAGAAGAAGGACTTACGTTTAAGGAACTGGAAGGCGCTCAAAGGGAGGAGTGGCTCTAACTGCGCCATCCAAAGTCCTGAAATTCGTAAGTATAATACTAAATAGAACAAACGTTAGCAAACGGACATGAGAGAGGAAGGACTTACGTTGGGAACTGGAGGGCGCTCAAAGGGAGGAGTGGCTCTAACTGCCATCCAAAGTCCCGAAATTCGTAAGTATAATCCTAAATAGAACAAACGTTAGCAAGCGGACGCGGGAAAAGAAGGACTTACGTTGGGAACTGGAGGGCGCTCAAAGGGAGGAGTGGCTCTAACTGCCATCCAAAGTCCCGAAATTCGTAAGTATAATCCTAAATAGAACAAACGTTAGCAAGCGGACGCGGGAAAGGAAGGACTTACGTTGGGAACTGGAGGGCGCTCAAAAAGAGGAGTGGCTCTAACTGCCATCCAAAGTCCCGAAATTCGTAAGTATAATCCTAAATAGAACAAACGTTAGCAAGCAGACGCGGGAAAAGAAGGACTTACGTTAGGGAACTGCCAGGAGGGCGCTCAAAGGGAGGAGTGGCTGTCACTGCGCCATCCAAAGTCTCCAAAATCCTAAGTACAACAGACATTAGCAAGCGGGTGTGAGCAATTAAGTACTTACCTTGAGAAACCTCAAGGGAAAGAGAGTATATGTAAATGAAAACAGTTAGTAAGTAGGCGCACCACCAAAGTTGAACTTACTATGTTTGAAGGGCGACTGTAGGGTAGTACCTTTGAATTCTTGCAGCTGCAGTCTGCAAGAACCCAAAGGAGTACACCGGAAGTCGCCCTGAAGTAACGGCACTGGCAGAAATAAAGGATGAAGGAGAATGATGAAGGTAAGACGAAAGAAGAGATTGAACCGTGAGAACTGATTGTTGTTGTTCATATTCACGTGTCAGTTTGTTATTGTTTGTAAATAGTCACGTGATTATCAACAATGAACTCAACAGCGTCATAATATTGGCTAATCCACAATTCAACGCGTCGCGTGTCAAAAATCCACAAATTCAACACGTGCCGGCGCGCCGGCACGTGTTGAGTGGATTTTTGACACGCGACGCGTTGAATTGTGGATTAGCCAATATTATGACGCTGTTGAGTTTATTGTTGATAATCACGTGACTATTTGGATCTGTTTGTCACAATCAACCAACGTTCAAACTTGTTCATTTCTTTCTAAGTACATTCAGCTGGCGCTCTCCTCTCTTTGCATCTGTTTGAACTACATAACTGTAAGTGCTATTTGCCGTGTCATCTACTAATTTGAATATATCTATAATAGTCTCTCTTCACCATGGTGAAGTCTAAACAAACCTGCAAGAAGTCCACCGGTGGCACCGCGCCACGAATTGCCTTGTCGTTGCCGGCATCTACTGGAGCGGTCACTGCGCCGGGTGAGCTGAATGTGAGAGAGCCGTCTGAACACAACGAGGTAAGTGATTAGTTACCTACTATTTGCACTAACACGCGTCTTTATTTGCAGTTTTGTCTCATCTGCAGAGACGGTTCTGTAGGGGAAGATTGCCTCTTCCTCTGCAGCACCTGTCCGCGGGTGATGTGTTCAAACTGCATGAACATCCCGCCTGCCAGTGCACACGCGGTGCAGGCCGATGACGTCACGTTCGTCTGCATATCTTGCCATGTTGGCATGGAACGACACGGGCGCGCATCTCAGTCGCCCTATTTTGTAAGTTTTTTCGTTTATTTCATGCTAACTAACATTCACTTCATTTTATAGGGTTTTTACAGGAAGGGGCAACCGCTCCTTCCTTCATTCCTCCAAATTCGTGCTACGTTGGAGGTTTCACTCCATTCCCAACTGTCTTCGGCACCCACGCTCATGCTCCATCTCGTCCTCGTCGACCACGACGTCACCGGCGGCTGTTTCGAACTGGCCTCCGAATTCCTTCGGCCATACTTCCCCAGCGGAGGGTTTGAATTTCGGTCCATCGTGTTCGACATCGGCAATGCCTCAAAGATCGACGAGTACCGGTTGCAGGCGACTGCCATCATCCAGTCGCTGATGAGCTCCAACTGGGCTCGTGTCGTCGTCGCCATCACTAACCACACCGACAACGAGCATGGAGATCCATTTATTGGGTACGAGGGCAACAAGAAGTCATACGTTTCGGCACGCGTTCACTCTGTAAGTGGCATTTTTTTGACTAACATTGTATTTGCTCATTTGACACCAAAGGTTCTCGATGTTCTGCTTTCACCTTGGCATCCCCTGATTCATGGTGCCGCGGAATCATACTTATGGCTGTTTTCGTGTGGCGCGCTCATCAACAACGTCACTTCCTTTTCAGGCTTGCAACAGGCGGTCATAGAGTAAGTCCATTTGATCTTATCTTTGCAAATACTAACTAACCCTAACAGTCATCGCATCACAGCCACTATTGGCTTTAATGCTGTTCGTTTTCAGCCGAGTTTCGCCACCCACCTTTTGCTCGCATTCGCGGAGCTGGTCATCATCGAGCGTTTGCCCATTCACATCGTCTTCCCTGACATGTTGGGCCAGTCCTACAAACTTGGGCGCCACACTGACGTGTTCTTGCTGATGCCTGACAACTCAGGTTCGTTGGCCGTTACCAAGTTCGCCTGGACGCATTCCCAACTTCGCCCCTGGGGTCAGTACCTGCCGGTCCAGTGCCCACAGTGTGGGTGGAGTAACGCCTGGTGTTCTGTCAACATGCACAAAGATTACATCTTTGAATGCAAGAATGGCCAATGTAGGAAAAAGTATGTATTCTCACAACCACCTCATTCCAGGATCCTTTTGCCAGGCAAAAGACCTGGCTCCTGCTGGATTTCGGTTGTCTTGAGGCCCATGCCTAGTGTCCCTGATGAGGATGAGGATTAGGATACAATTATTTTGTCTTAGCTTTTTCGTACATCCCTTCATGTTTCATTTTTCTTCATCTTACTTGATTAGATACCCTCACCGCTCAATGGAAGTATAACGTGTTTTGGATCTTTTTACCTGATGTGAATTTGTCTATTATCTACACTGTCTAACTCCACTCAATGGAAGTATAATGTGCCTTTAATCTTGTTACTTGATGTGAATTTGACCGTCTCAATATATCCAATTTGATAATTGATTCAAGATAAAAATTGCAGGTAGGCTGGTACAGGCGGTAGGAGGGTGGCTAGCCGAAATTAATTTGAACACCCATGTTTATCAACAATAACGTGTGACTTATGAAAAGTCACACGTTATTGTTGATAAACATGGGTGTTCAAATTAATTTCGGCTAGCCACCCTCCTACCGCCTGTACCAGCCTACCTGCAATTTTTATCTTGAATCAATTACGATGTCTACCGACTGGTCTATTGCCTTTAAGCCAATTCTCGACCTTCACTCTAAGGCCATTTTTGCTGCAGGTTCCTCATCTGTTGGAAAGCCTGTGGTGAGGAAGATTCGGAGGGCCATACTAGCTGCTCAAGACGAGCAAGAGGAACCCATTGCCTTGCCTACTTCCTTGAAAAAGGTCACAAAATTCTTATACTGTACATGTATTTAGTTGTCTGATGATATACATAAATGTTACCTACAGGCAATAAAAGAATACTATGCCAAAAGTCTCAAAGACAAGGAAGAGGCAGACGAACGTGAGGCAGCGAGTCGCCCAAGAGAACCATCTTTCTATAAGAAACCCCTGTCTGAGTGGGACGTAGCACAGAAATTATTTAAGCAGGAGATCGACTCATATGACAAGGCCCAACAACAGAGTAAAGGCTTGGAGTATTCAATCAAGTACCGCACTGGGAATGCCAGGGAGTGGTTCAACAACATGACACCATCACAACAGCAGGAGGTCAAGTTTGCCATGAAGAAATGGAATGAGGAGGGGGCGCCAGAAGAAACTCAGGCAATGTAAGTTTTACTTCAAATCTACAGTTATTCCAGTCTAACACTTTGGCTTGAGATATCGTAAGAATAACCTCAAGAAAACTCTGGAAGATTTTGCAGAGCAAATTCGGCGCACCATGGGTTGTCGCATAGTAATGCTTGTTAGTCATAAGAAAAAAGCTAGTCAGACATTGTCCGTCAGTCTGTAAGTCATCAAATCAACATGGAAATCTCAAGACTAACTAAACTACTATAGACACGAAACTACGCCTCAGAATGCCAAGAAAAAATTTTCTGTGAGCTCGAGTGGTATCAAGGAGTGGGCTGCAAATGGATTTGAATCCTTTGGAGAATGGTCTAAGACTGAATTTTGTACGTGTTTCATTTGATTTTAAATATCATGCTCACTGACTATTAAATTGATAGACCCTTCAGAGGATTCAGACCATGCGGCTTCAGACTGTGAGGATGGACCTGTCTTACCTGAAATCATAGTAGATGATGAGGGGTATGCAAAACTTCCTCTTCGTGATGGTATTGGCCTCAAGGGCCAACACGAATTGATTAGAAGTATCTTTCATACTTCATACAGTAAGATCTAACATCTTCAATATGTGCATGACATTTGATTGACTCAATGGTTTGTAGAAGTCTGCACAGGTGGCTCTAGACCTGTACCTTGGGGCGTGATAACTGCCAGCCCGTCCAATTATTTGGAACCTGGTTCAGTTCCCACAGGATTTGTGGTCAAAGACCCTTCTCATATGAAGACAGAGGAGGTAAATTGTCTATGGATGCATTGGGAACGACGTTCTGCTACAAATCAGAAGCTAGTTGTCTTTATTAAGGCCAAGGATGCTGATATTCGGGTCACTGGGAAGTCCAAGACGAAAGTAGTGAGCACCCTAGACTTAGATGAAGAAGATCAAGGCCGGCCGGCTCCATTTGCCTCTCATTTCACAGAACGTACAACACAGCCGGCCGCTCATGAGACAACACCAGATGATGTTGCCATCAATGACCGATACACATTTTTAGAAACCCTTAGCAAGAATGAAAACTACTTGGAGCTTGTGGACGCCACTAGGGACCTGGCAATATTAGCCAAACAGAATGTTAGTGTCACTTGGTGCTGTTTTCAATTTTATGGCTTATATGTCCAACAGCCAATTTCAGAGCGACACCAAGATTTGCCTACCTGGGCTGACTGGTCTTGGAGCGAAAATTATCTTTCCGAGGACATTCACACCTCATATGCGACATTGATGGCCAGCTTAAACAAGCTACAGACCTGTCCAATCTCAGGGCCATCATCGGCAATGCCAGTAATACTAGGAATTGGGCTCCTCTATAGGGAGTCTAAGCGTGTGATAGAGTATGAGGAAGACGAGGCTGATCCCAATACCCCTTTCTACCTACCTCATTCTGCTATTGATCTACAGTTCTTGGTCGCTCTGGATGAGGCTGTCCGGGAAGTCTTATTCTCAGTTGTTGGTCAGATTGAGAGGCTGAACAAAGAGGGACTCAGTGACGAGGTTGAGGATGAGGAGATGAGGATGGTGGTAGAGAAGGAAAGGCATGAGGTTGAGGAGAAGGATGTTGAGTCAGAGGAGAATGTAGTTGGGGGAGAAGAACAGCAGGAGCAGGAGGTTGAAGAGGTGGTGCAGAAAGGGAGGAAGAGAAAAATTAACCATGCTTCATCAAGTAAGTCCAAGAAGCCTAGGACTGAGCCTGTGGTTCGTAGATCAGGTAGGGTGAGGCAACCCTCTAAGAGATCCCAGAAGATATGATCTTGTATCCTCCATTGTCTTCATTGCTAGTCAATCTTGTACAGTAATTACATATGCTTGTCTAGACTCTCGCACTGCCTGGTGATAAGTTATGACTTGAGTATAAACTGGCTTTCCTCGCTCTATGTACATATATATTGGCCAGCCTGACTCCTACATAGGTAAATGCAGGACGGCCGGTATGCTAGTTTAATACCTGCAAACAGGCCAGCCTGGCTCCTACATAAGTAAATGCAGGACGGCCGGTATGCTAGTTTAATACCTGCAAACAGGCCAGCCTGGCTCCTACATAGGTAAATGCAGGACGGCCGGTATGCTAGTTTAATACCTGCAAACAGGCCAGCCTGGCTCCTACATAGGTAAATGCAGGACGGCCGGTATGCTAGTTTAATACCTGCAAACAGGCCAGCCTGGCTCCTACATAAGTAAATGCAGGACGGCCGGTATGCTAGTTCAAAACATACAAACTGGCTAGCCTTACCCATACATAGGTAGATGCAGGGCGGCCGGTTTGCTAGATTAAGACCTACATACTGGCCAGCCTGGTTTCTACTGAGGTAGAGATATGGTTGGCCAGTATAATCTTAATCCCACATATTGGGCCACCCCACGTCTGCCTATGTAGAAGAAAGGCTGGCCAGTTACAAATATAGATGTGAAACAGTCAGCATCCTAATACACCAGCAAGCCTTGATATTGGTATACCTACAGCCGGCAGTTGTCTTACATCTACTGGCTGGTCATGCTTTTACAATAGTATGGTAGTGTATTATACATGTGGACTACTACTATACAAGGCCGGCCAGCATGTATTCTACATAGACCGGCCGGGGACTGGCTGGCCATGATTCTACAGGGTTTTGGCACATCCGGGGCACTGGTTCTACATGGGAAATTGACTGAAGTATGTGGTCCATTGTCGATGATGATGAATGCGTCTCCACTCCCTTATTGAATGCGCGCTGCGCCATGTCCTTTAAATCGTTGCTTGCCACCATCAAGTTGTTGAGAAAATCCCTCTTGAATACATTGCGAGCGCTGTCGACAATGCGCGAGGTGGTGACTGATGACGGTGGAGGTGGTTGGGTACTGTTGGATGCGAGAGGTTGACCACTAATGGCAGGGTAACCCAAGCCTGGTTGGGCTATGTGACCCGTGCCTGCGGGTTCTACAGGAGGGAGGCGCAGGTGGACGGGCTTGCGAATGGCTCTCGAGGATCCAGGTACAACCTAATATTTAGATTAATCAACGTTGATTACTATACAGAAGACATACCCGAATCACGCCAGTTGAAAATTCCTCGCCCCGTATCAGTTCACCTGGTCTTGGCTTCGCATATGCCATGACGAGGCGATAGGCTTCATATGGTGCTGCTCGACTCACTGCACGTACTGAAGGGACACGTACCAATGCGTCACTGTGGCCTGGCCGCATCCTCAGGCCTGACCTGTAGCTCTCGACAGCCTGGTGGACTCCTTCCACATTGAGCATGGGAGTCTGCACACGGGTAGTGGACTGTGTGGGTATCTGCTGCTGAAATCGAGTAGGTGGTACGGTTGATGGGCCAGCTATCGATTGCTGGTTAGAGGGAGGTATCTGCGGGGCCATCCGTGGCAGGAATTGCGTAGGTGTTATGGTCGATGGGCCTGCCATCATGTCCCGGCTAGGGAGGTCTGACATCTGTGGGAGCCACTGCTGCACGAACTGAGGATGGGCCGTCATCGGTGGGCCGCCCCTCATGTCCCAGCTAGGAAGGTTCATCTGCGGGGGGCGCTGCTGTGGGGACCGTGCATACGATGCCATCGATGGACCAACCGTCGTATCGTACATATATGGTAGCCCCTGCTGCAGGGATCGTACATATGGCACCGGCCTTGGTTGTGGGGGGGGCGCGGCTGGTGGCTGCATAGCCAGTCTGGATGGTGCTACCGGACGCTCCATGGCCAGTCCAATCTGAGCGCTAGCAGTATTTCCACATGGGTTCTTCCCTGTGGACTCCGGGTATTTCGGTAATTGCTAGAAATTTGTTAGTTTGTAGCGATGCAATGATAAATAATTGATATCGCACCTTTGACTTCCGCTTTCCCTTCGATGCCTTCTTGGGAGGCATACTTAGAGAGAGCTGGAAAAGCTGAGGGCAAAGGGGAACAGAACTAAACTTATAGCGGCACTGGCCGTCGACAAATCAGACACATGTTTCATTGAGGCAGCAAATCGAGGGTGGAAGCTAGAATTCAGTCTGAACACTCATGGTGAACATGTAATTATAACAGGTGTGATCAGTCAAGCGCTACACAATTTGATACAAGAAGGGAAACACCGTCTACACGTTGTCGAAACACGAGACACAGACATGTCATATGCAGTACACTGAATTGTCGGGAAATAGAAGGGTAAACAGCGGGACCCCAAGCTACATGCAGATCGGTTAAGAACATGGTATCGATATATACTTGATCACTGTAGAAATAAATGTAAGCGCTTAAATATTAGTAGAAAAATGAGGGGGTTACCTCAAAAACTCGCTTCCAAGGCAAACCCTTCACCTTAGGCAAACCCTTCACCTTTGACGCCCGATCCGTCGGAACTAACTTCTGATCTGGGCTCGTCCCAGTCTTCGTCGTCATCATCTGATTCAGCGCCATTGACGAAGGGGTCCGTGGAATATTTATCCTTGGTGATCAGCTGGTTGGGGTCATGGAAGTTGTGATCGACTGCGAAGGCCTCGAGTTGATTTAATTGCTCCTCTGAAACACTGAATGCTTGTAGCTCCTCCTCGTAAGTTCCAACACCAAAGTCAAAGTCATCTTCAAGCTGGTTTGCGTGACGGTGGGTCATGAACCTTTCGAACAGGCGAGCTTCATTGGACGCTGCAACGTATTCCCGAGCATTCTTCTGCTGAAGTAGGTCAAGAAGTCTTTTATGACGCTCAGTCTCCTCTATCTCCCACGCAGTCATAAGAAGACGCAAGCGTGACTTTTCACGAGTCGCTTGCTTTGCAGAAACAGCTTGTGTGATAGTCTCCTCATCCATGCTCTGCAACCCACGTCGAAAAATAGCAGCAGCCTGTTCATTCTTATTAAATGCCACACCATAAGATAGATAAGCATTGAACATACCGCCTTTGCATCAGTTAATGATATATCAGCGTGATCATTCCTGAGTATTGACCTCCTTGTCCAGCGCAGTTCTGGTGCACTTGGCCCAGCAGGGCGTGCATAAGGAGTAAATTTCGATTTTGCACGGGTTGTATACTGAGAGAGGCGGCGGACAACGCCATGGGCTGGAAGAGATGGAGTATAATCCTGAATGATGCGAGGGCTCACAAAACAATCGTTTAAATCGTTGGGCGGGGTAAGTGGTCTGTCGCTTGATGGAGGAGATGAGCTCTGGGGGGGAGATGAACTCTGGGGGGGAGATGTATGGCGTCGGTGAGTAGATATCATGATATGCGTACCGACTGTCAGCAGTCAAAAGCGGGAAGTATCGGAGTTTAAAAGACTTGGAGGAATTCAATGCAATCAACGCGGATCTGGAACGCTTGTACCACAATGAACGATGTTCCAGCGGACGATATTCCTTGGCCTCAGCAGATCATTTCTGATAATGCAAGAGATCCTGCCGTGACCTGCCCTAACTCAGACTGCCGACAACATTTTCCATCCATTCATGACTTGCTTTCTCACCTAAACCACCCAACTGAGACATGCTGGCCGTCAGGATCTGAAGGACACATGGCCAAGCCTCCTGCATTACGTGGAACCCGCAGACATCACGATGGGCAGTCTGGAGTCGATGAGACCATGGATGATGAATTTAATCGGACCGCTCAATACCATCCATTATCGGGCTATGTCTACGGAGAAGGACAGAACATATTTCAGCAAATTCAGAACGATGAACATGAGCCAAAACGGGTGAAAAATATGTACTGGCCCTTTCGCGATCGTGGAGAGTGGTCACTCGGTAAATTTTTAGTTGAGACCATGACACAGACAGAGATTGATCGTTTTCTCAAACTGTCTTGGGTATTTTACATGATCTGTCCGTATACTACTTGCTAACTCTACATTATCAGTTCGATGTGAAAGATAAGCCCGCATTCTCGAGTGCTCGAGAACTATTGTCCTGGATGGACCTTTTACCTCCCGGGCCGAAATGGCAGACCACACAGTTTGAAGTCCAGGGGTACACCACTGCCGCTCCCATTCATCTAATATGGCGTGATGGCCTTGAAGTCGTGAAGAGCCTCTTTGGAAACCCTATTTTTGCTCAAAATATGTCTTTTGACCCTCTGCATGTCTGGGAGGGTGCGCAGCGAGAATATGGAGAGTGGTTCACAGCAAATCGAGCATTCTCGACACAAGTATGTGCTTTTTTTCTGTATCGTCACATTCTTAACTATCGACTATTCCAGGATCAGCTGCCTGAAGGGGCGACTATCGTGCCCATAATAGCTGCATCAGACAAAACACCAGTCACAAGACAGACGGGCGGTCTGGAAATGCACCCTCTTTTCCTCACTATCGGCAACATCGACTCTGACGTTCGTATGAAGGCTACATCCCACGCTTGGCGATGTGTGGCGTATATGCCAATCCCAAAGTTTGAAACACATCCCGATTATCATACGATTCTGAAGTCGCGTGTCTGGCACAAGTGTGTCGACTTAGTCTTTGCCGGCTTAAAAGTCACAGCAAAGGTCGGCGAGTTTATGCCTGACCCCTTCGGTGAACTTCGATATTGCTTTACCCCTCTTGTCGCTTGGATCGCAGACCTTCCAGAACAGTTGATGATCGCCTCTGTGTCAAAGAACGCTTCCCCCATCACACTGGCCACTCACAAGCAATTCGGGGATGCCAACCGTCACGATCCTCGCACAGCAGAGCATACTCTGGAGCTATTGTACATTCTCAGCCAGTCAATTGACCCATGGAATCTTGACCGGTTCCAGAAGAAGTCAAAGGAGCTTCTCCTTCTAGGCGTTCATCTTCCATTCTGGCGCGACTGGCCACTTACCCAGGTTTCTATTTTCCTTGTCCCTGAAATCCTTCACACCCTGCACAAATTTTTCTTCGACCATCTGTTGCAATGGTGTAAAGAAGTGGTTGGAAATGACGAGCTCGACGCACGCTACAAGAGCCACCACAAACGTATCGGCGTGCGTCACTTCTCTTCTGGGATCTCACATGTGGCACAGATGACTGGACGAGAGCATCGTGATATCCAGCGCACCATCGTTGCCATGATTTCGGGCGCTGCTCCTCCTGAATTCGTGCGACCTATTCGTGCTCTCATCGACTTCATGTATCAAGCACAGAACCCCATCCATACGGAATCAAGCATCGAAGCAATGCAAGCGTCACTTAACGAATTCCACAATTGCAAGGTGGCAATCCTGGAAGCTGAAGCACGTCGGGGGAAAAGCAACGTCAAGGAGGATTTCTACATACCAAAACTCGAACTCCTTCTGAGCTTCGCGGAGGCCATTAGGAACAACGGTGGACTTGTTCAGTTCACTGCGGATGTTAGTGAACGGCTTCTAATCACACATTGCAAAAGCCCGTTCACGAGAACGAGCAAACAGAAAGATTTCGGGGAGCAGATCGTCCGCATCCTTGATCGTGAAGAGCGGATGCGGCAGTTCGATCTATATCTCCTCCTTCGCCAACACAACCAAGCTCTCATTAATGCCGTTGTCGATGAAGATGAAGAAGTATGCGCCACGGACCCGACAATGGCATGGGTTTCTCGTGTCGCCCCCAACGAACAACATCATTTCAGTGCCCCCAGGCCCATACGCAATCATTTTACCAAGGGCATCCTCTCCAATAGTGCCAACGCAGCGCTTACCGTCACTCGCTCTCCTGATGGCTCAAATCTCAGCTGGCCTGATGTGATGCACACCTATGGACTCCCTGACCTTCGTCACAAGGTCACAGAATACATTCAGCGATACACAGATGATGTCGAAGAGTGCTTCCAGATGTTTAGTGCCATCAAGGTTTGGTCCAAGTTTCGTATCCAACTACATTCGACATTTCGCCCATCAATCATCATGCCCAGCCAAGCTGTCCAAGCCGAACCGCCAAGTGATGCATTTCCATCTGGAAATTGTGATGCGATTTTCTTAGACATGGATCAAGGCGCAAATAACCCTGGTTGTAAGTTGGTTTATGCTACCTATCGTCCATGTACTGACAACATCTATTATCTAGTTTCAGTTGCTCAAGTTCGCATTGTATTCCAGCTGGCTCCACCCCGGCGCTCAACTGCAAAACTTCCTGACTTCTTGTCGCACCCCCTCCTCTATGTCCAACCTTTTCGTATCGTAACAACCCCCGAGGATCTAGAGGACACTCGATTGTGGAAGCTCGAGAGGGTCTATGCACCTGAAACGCAGCCCAAAACCCGCACCGGGTTTGTCATTCCCATAACAGAGGTAACACACCCTGCGGAGTTGGTCCCGGTGTACGGAGAAAAGGTTGACCGTTCCTTGACTTTAACGACGTCTCAAGAGCACTATGACCACTTTTATCTCAACCGTTATGCGGATAAGGAGATGTATAACGCGTTGCATGAATCATTGGACACTGAGTATACTCTTTAGCATTGATCTTGTGTCACTGTTCTTTCCAGTAGTAGCATCATTTGTAAACACAGTACTGCAGGCGCAATGATCTTGGTCTTGATTAGATGCTTTTTGGATCGATAAGACAATGATAAAATTCCACCAATCGCATGAGTTCGCTAGTGAAGTCGTAAGCATTCGTAAGTGTCCGTAACGTGCGTAAGTTAAGCGTTCATTTCAGTGGTTTTGCAGATGCACGTACACATCTGAGTTCACTGGTACGAGCTCCAAGAATTTGTCTCTGCAGGCCCTGCAGGGTTTGGGGAAACTCGAAAGAATCGAGTAGGGTCCGAGTGATAACAGGGTACTACCACGTCTGTTCCACCAATCACATCGCTCCAACACCACAAGCATTAAACTTCCTTCTGACCAGCTAAAATTAAGTATAAGTCTTTTGCTCCTGCGATCCGTGACAGTACTAGTCTAATTGAGCTAGACCAAATGCATTTTAGCTTGTTCGGAACAGGTTTGACTTGTGCCGACCAACTCACTTTTTTTCGTAGAAGCGAAGCGAGTAACATATAACAGCCCGAAGCGAAAATTTCGCAAATCGTGAGGCCATCTGCCTATAAAATCCCTGCATGCACGCTATGACCTTGCATTGCTCACTGCAACAAGCTCCATGATGTTCACTTCCCGCTTCACCATTCTTGCCCTGCTCACCCTCCTTGCTGGTGCCAACGTGGGATGCGCAACGTGCCAAGAAACGTTGAAAGTCGGTTCATCGACCTACGAGCTAGTCAGCAGCTATGTGGAGTCTGAAAACGGGTACATGGAGTGCAGGTAAGTCACCCACATCTTCATCGAGAAGGGTGACTGACGGTCCGGCAGCTACGTGGATAAGAAGGGTGACGAGGTGACCTGCGTGTATATGGTACATGTTTTCTGGGTGCTGACATCAGGAAAATACCATTTGACTACAGGTGGCTATATAGTCGCTGTAGTACCTGTAGTCCCATTTGTCAAGTCCCTTCTACATGTGGCTATATAGCCACATGGCTCGCTATGAGAGTCACTGGTAGCTCGTCATAGCAAGCTACAGGAGGCTACAGGCTACTAACACTAGTAGGACCTGATAGTTACAAGGCCAAAAGAAATGCCACCAGTGCTCACATCAGATGATTTTCACACATTATAATGTACAATTGGTAGGAATTGAACCCGACACCTTGAACAATTATAAGTGCATCATTTTTACAACTAGGCTACAAGACTACTTGTATATTCTTACAATAATAGAAATATATACCAATGCAATATGACAATATTGCGAAAATTCCATCAAGTCAATTATCACACGGTTCAATGAGTCCAAAATGGTGGCACGTTAGAGCACCTTCCTTTCGATTGCAACAAGTCCTCGCTCGACACGCCAACTCCACCGCAAGGTGGCAAGTGATTTTTATTTTAACGAGTTCAAATATTGACGGCAAGATGTTTGGTGTGTCTGTCATAAGTAGTTTGTAGACAGGTTAATATCACACGAGCGCTGTAGCTGCCTGGAGTGACCTGTAGCAAATATTTCTCCAGCTGACTCCTGTAGTAGCGGTGACTTTGGCTATATAGTTGTATGTAGCTTGAAGGGTGCCTACATAGCACTACTGTGGCTACAGTAGCTTGAAGGGTGCCTATATAGTGCTACTGCGACTACAGTAGCTTGAAGGGTGCCTATATAGCGCTACAGTTGCTACAGTAGCTTGAAGGGTGCCTATATAGTGCTACTGTGCCTATATAGCTCTATGTAGCTGTCACCAGGGCTACGGCATTTTGAGTTTTTTACTGATGGAGCAGCTCATCGTTCTCGTTTGACACGTTATATTGTCATCAGGATGACGGCAAGTTAGCGAATGGGGATTGGAAGTGTCCAGGATGGTCAAGGAAGGATGAATGCTAAGCAGGATGTGATGTGGAATTGAGCTCGACAAGAGGAGCAACATTGGTCTGCAGAAAGTTGTGTATATCAGCGGATTTCGTCTGCGTCAAGAATTCTCTTCATACGTGTTTCGCCTGGGCCAGTTTGTGACAATCAATCGCCTCGAGCATATCAACATCAGGAAAAAAACCTTTGACTACAGTGTGCATGAATGACCACTGTCTGACTTCCGATGCTGACAGGGAATGTGATGCAAGGCAGTCGCTGCAATTCGGAGTACGCGAAACAATGGGTATCTGCTCGTATGGGGATTAATTGTCTCACAGGGAATTCAAGCTTCGAGCCTGAACTTCGTTGTCCTAGATGCAGGATCACCAAAGACATCCCACTACTCCGTCTGACTCTGTGACTCACGAAATGCAGGTCGATCACGAATAGACCGTAACCGATGGTACGTCACATGAAGACACGAATGAGTCAAAATATAACTTATAACAGCCAAATAAACGATTCGAGATCTGAAGAGTGAGGCTATGCGAGCGCAAACCAAATGTAGGACAAACGGGCGACATTTTGACGTTGGCTCGAGCTCTTGCATATTGATATTTTTTTTTTCCTTTGATACGTATATTTTTCGTGCCTAAGCTAACAACACTCGCATGCATGGTAGTTTTTATATTACCACAGCGCGACGACTCGAAAGCATGCCAATACTCACACCCTCACCAAAATACCCATGTAGACGACTTGCAAAACAGCCTCCAGGAACAAGAATGTGATGCGGCGTTTTCTAGATGTGGGGTTGACAGTGCCTACATTGGCAGGTAAGTCAGGAAGGACCACTGAGCGAAGGGAGCGAAGCTACATGGGTGCAAGTGTGAATGTGAGTATTAAGTGATGTTCGGTATGACATACTACAAATAGCGCGTTTGCCGCGAACACGTACAGGAATACGAGTGTGTATATCGTTGTGCCTAGATTGAGGAGACCCGCAAAGAGCGTGAGGATGACGCTGGCTCGAGTTAGCGAAGAAGTAAAAGGGTGCAAGGAGCGGACACACCCGACAAACTTATACCCGCCATAAGCGATCAAATCTACCACCTGACCCGTGCCTTGAACATTAAGGAGGTAGCAGCCGCACTGGACAAAGAGAAAGTCGAGTAGGACAACGAGGAGAGCACGTGTTGCGCTTGTGCCGAGGATCTGGGGGTGGAATCGTTCTTGAAGGCCTGTTTGAAGCGCTGCTATAAGAATGTAGGTGACGAGTGCCATGACTGCGCAACGAATAAGAAAGGATGAATTGAGAAGAAAAAAGACGCACGGGGTATGTACAAATCAGGACTATTGATATCGTCGCGAGGAGGCTGCCATTCTGTGTGACCAGCCTCTGTGCGACGGACTTTTCGTGTCCAGGGTTTATGTCGCCAAGGAAATACGACGAGCTGGAGTTTGTGCATGACGTAAGAATTTGAGACGTTGAAGTGGTGTTTGAGCATGGTGACTGGTATCATGCCGGTGAACTGTTCATGGTGAGCGAGTATAGCAAACATAAATGAAGGACACGTACATTCTTTTGGACATAATCTTGGCCTGCAGCAACAGCTGTTTGACCTAAGTGCATTCCGAACTGAGCGGTACTGTCGTTCATGCCCCATGCCGCAAAGTCGGGAATGTGTTGGTGTTGAGGATTTGGGATTGGTTGAAACGGAGGGGGATTGTATTGAGTTCGTGCGGCATATTGTTGGGTTGGTGGTGGCGAACTGACAAAGCGTTGGTAGCCTTGAGGTGATGCTGGCGTTGAAGGCGGTTCTGGTATGAAAGCTGGATGAGTCGGGACCGGGTGTTGAAGAGGTGGAGGTGAACATGAATAGTAGGACATCGCAGGAGTAGGTGAGTGTGGCAACTGCTGCGAGAACGTCCGGGAAATGGACACTCTGGGGGTAACTCTGTCACGGACTCCGGGGGTATTGTATGGGTCCCACTCTGGGGGCATGTCAGCCGCTCGGCTCAATTCGGTCGGAGTTTAATTATGTCAGCTGTGGTTCTAACTGGCCGTGCCAAGAGGTGTGCGTTCGCAAAATCCCGAACACAGAGCTCAACATTAGATAAGCAAAAAAACCTTAATACATAGCCACATGAAGTTACGAGCGACACATTTTGAGTTCCTCACCAGCGGCCTCAAATCATCGTAAAATCGTTAGGCGAGTACTGTAAAGGGGGTGTTTTTACTACTGTAGAATAGGTTTAGATAGTTATTTTAATGAAACACGAATATGTAGAGATGTTACCCGCTAAATGTCAGATCTTGAGTATGATTTTGGAAGCATGTGAGCAAAGTCAATATGACGCGTTTGTGACGCGTCAACAACTTATGTCTCTTTCCTTAAACTCATTCATTTATTATGCATTATCCTGCTCATTACGATTCATGGTTTGCTTTTGATGACAACAACGACACTACATACCTCATGGACCTCGAGGACGAGGGTCAGCATATCCTGCGTGCCATCAGTAACACTCCAGAGGAGGTCATTTTGAAAGAACCGGTAAGTTTTTTTAAAATTACATATGTACTTTACATTGATGACTATCTACAAGGTCAGCAACACACTTCCATGTGGCTTTTGTGGATGTTCCGGTCGACCAGAGTGCGCTATCACCGTCACCGTGCCTGCAAAAGCTGCAACAACATGGGACACGAAGTGCATGTACCAGCACCAATTCCGATATGCATTCGCTGAGACCGGTTCGAAGAATACCCCATGCTGCAACTTGCCACTTAGATGTGAGCTTTGCCATCCCATTCTCCCTCCGGCACCTGGGAAGGCAACGAGAAAGACGGCAGTCATCCCAGTGGGCGCCGTTTGGTGCTACAATATGCACGAGCATATCTTCCAGGAGCATGAGGAGTATATGGTACCTGGACAGAGAGATGTTGGTTTACTGCTGCCTGTAAGTGTTTGGAAGGAGATGAGGCTCACGGACCTGGAGCAGACTGCTTCACGCATCCCGAAGACTCATTGGCAAGGAGAATGTGCCTCTGTTAGTTTCTCGTGGTTCCAAATGTGCTGGAGCACAAGCAGGCTCATCCCGTTCATCAAAGAAGGCTCGAATGACCATTCTGACTGCTCCAACTGCTCTTGCTGTACTTAGTGTGTGATTGCTTACTTTATGCACCTATTCCAGTCGCATACATACTCGTTTTCACGCTGCAGCTGTCTGTTTTGCTTTGCAATAGTTGAATTGATTCATTTTGACTTAACATTGTATGACAAACGACTACCTAATATGGCTAAATTACATGATCGGTAACGCTGTCATCACACGTCATGGTAGGCGTAGGGGGTACCCAAGTTGCGGCAGGTCTGTGTGCTAGATTTCTCGATCGCACACCTCTTGGGCCGTGCTGTACCTTCTTCCCAATGTTCTTCCCGCCCCTCCCGCCCCCGGTGTCTTTTTGCCCGCCCTCTCCGCCTAACGCACATGACACCGCACACCTTGTGATAGCGGACGTGACCACCACCACGATCATGACCTTTGACTGTCAACAACGACAACAGCCTGCTTCATGGACGTCAGGACTCCATTCCCAGCTCTCGATCACCCAGAATTGCAGGACCTTTCATATATTGCCATAACACGCTTCCTTCGCTGTGCAAGCATGCTTAAGGATGATATCCTCCTCCCTCAGCCTCACAGCATTCCTGTCACCACTGCCCCTGATGTTCTACCTCCAGGAATCACTGATTTTTTTAGCAGGTCCTTCAATATCTCCTGCGACGCAGTTGACGTACTCTGGGGTGCAGTCAAACACATTGCATGGACCCTTCCTGCTGACGGTGAAGAACACGAGGTTATCGAGACAATGTTTCAACATCATGGCCAGGATCAAGGCATCTGTGAGTGATCTATCTATCTATTCAACGAAACTGTACTCCATGCTGAAATAAATTCATAGCGGCCTATGTTCTGTATCCTCCAATGAAGACGTGCGTGAACCCAGACTGCATTGCTGTGCAATGTGCTACACCACTGAAAAAGGATGAGCCCCGTCGTGTTGTCATCTTCACTCAGGCATTCGGTGTTCGTTGTGCATGGTCTGTCCATTTAAAATGCAGATGTAAGTTTCTATGTTCAACTCCAACTCCAGCTGATCTCAACTTCATCAGCGTGTAACGTAAATTACCACCACAATTATGCCGTGCACGGGGCATCAAGGCAGTATTATTCTGGTGTACCAAAATACATCCAAGTCGGGGAGCATCAGTTTGTTGAACGGGAGCTTGCGATGCATTGGATCGACCTGATGCGAATCCCGTGAGTATTTTCGCGAACTCTCATTCATGTTTTTAACCTTTTTCACAGTGTCTCCGCTACCGACTGTGCTCGTCTGTACAACGAGGCACAAGCTCGACGCAAAAATGTCACCTGTGAATGGCAGTTTAACACGACTGAGGAAGTATGGGATGCGTTCACTGTCTTAGCACTCCTTGATGACCATCAGCTTCGGAATACAAGTCTTTGTGTACCCCATGATAATTCCCAGAGTGCCCGCAATGAAAGGATTATTACTGAAGGCCAAGATGAGCTCCCACATGCGTGCTATGGATGCATGCGCCTCTTTTCCATGCCTGATGGCACCACTCACTACACTGAGGTCGTTGTCACCGATGGCATCACTGTTGGACGGCCCTGTTGTGCTGTACCGCATTGCAAAAACGCACTTGCCAGCACTCACAATCGCTTTTGTTCAGCCAACCCCAGTCACAGGCAGCTCGAAACCATATGTGCAGTCGATGGGTGTGACCAACCTGTCATCCGTCATGGTCAAGGTGACAAGCTGCGCAAAACCTGCAGTAACCCACTCCACATGAATATGGAGGATGCAAAAGCAGTGCTCTCATGGAGTGGAAAGAGCAAGACCCAGAGGATGAAGACTGCCAAGTTGAATGATGCACTTGCAGCTTCGTCCCATGATCATCCAGAGGATGATTTGCCTGTTGAAGACTTTGATGAATGGTACGAGCACGATGAGTCGACTGGCAATGTGCGCCTCAAGCAGGCATCAGCGGCCTTGTCAATGGGAGTTGTCAATCCTTCACTCACGCAGAATGAATCACGTCACATTCTCAAAGTATGCCCAAGCAAGGACGATGTCCCAAAGCTCAAGGTGATTTTTTTCTGGAAGTGAACTAACAACGAGCAGCTGTTTGTGCGTCCTTGTGGTATTATCTCAGGACGAGGTACTATGTACCATCACGAAGCTGTGTCAAATGTCTTGGTATGTCATTTAATACCCCTAGTTTTAGGCGCTGACTTACGGATCGTAGATATTGTTCGAAAAGACATTCTCTCTTCCACGAGCACGGAAACCCCAGCATCTCATATACAATTCCAATTGCAATGCTCTCCGCGAGGTTGAGAGCAGGAAAATGAAGTTCTTTGAGGGGATTGGAATGTGTGTAGACGCTTTCCACCATACAACGAAACACAAGGCTAGTGATCAGTTTTGCCAGGAGCGCTGCAGCATGAAGGCCTACCCCAAACTGCTCAATGAAGACGGCAAATATTACTTCAACTCCTCGATTGCAGAGCAGACAAACATGTGGTTTGGTGGGTTTCATAATATGTGCCATGAGATGACACCAGTCAAATATGATTTTTTCCTTGATGAAGTGATCCTTCGTCACAATCGTGCTACTGTTATTAACTTACATCGCCAGGGTAAACAACCTCATCACCCTCATCTGTCCACATAGTACTTATCTCTCATTTCTTTGTCAAGTATACTTCTGTTCGTTTACCGCCATGATATGTAATATATGTAATATAATGAATGTAAAGATACTGTTAAGAACGTGCTCAAGGGTCGGATACGAAGGGCTTGGCTTCAGCTCGTGCGCTGCGCCCCTTACCCGAGTACGTGCCCCTAACTTCCGAGGGTTGTCGAACGATGTCCGAAGGTTACCAGACGATGTCCGGAGGGCGTCGGGCGATGTCCGGAGTCCGATGTCCGATGCGCGGGAATTCCGGCGGACGTTCGGAAACAAGAGATAAGACTAATCCGGACGAAGTCCAAACTAGAAAGGAAACAGCGGAGGACTACCAGAGGTAGAGGCGGAGGTGACAAGTCTATAGGAGTCGATCCTAAGACGAGCGGAGGTCGACGAGAGAGAAACTCAAGTCAGACGGAGGAGAGAATGAGCAGAGTCTAAGATGATATTCGAACTGAGGAAACTACAGAGATTGTACAGGGGTTTATATACTACTGAGGACATAACGGAGAACAGTAAGTGCAGTGCAAAGCTATGTAAAGCTATGAAGAAAACATATGGGACGACTATCACTAGTCTATCGGAACTTAGTAAAATGAAGACGGAAATGAATAAGGGACGGAAAATAAAGCATACTAACTGATAAGGGAAATACCAAAGGGATAAGGCACGGAAGTTAGACGCGGGTCGGATCCGGACGATACATAGAAGTCGGCCGGATCCGGAAATCCGGAAATGATGAGTGTGATAGGTCTGGGTCTGGAACACGGGATATGACAGATACAGGCAAGCTATCTGTTCACTTTCTGGCCTGCAGTTCTAGCTGGACCATGAATCGCAAACGTCCCTTTTGACCTAGAGCAGTTCACAATTTACAGACACGCAGAGTTGAAAGAAAATGTGAATGGATCGCTTTCATAACAATTACATGAATACAAATCTACTCGAGTGAACAACAACAACAACAACAACAAAGACAAAGACAAAAGAGGTAAAGGGGTTATACACCACATAGGTATCGCCCAGCACACCCAGACTGTGTGATGTAAATTAGAATGTAAAAAAATCACATTGACCTAACAGACTTCTTCTTGCTCTTTTCACCCAACACATGGCGGCGCGAAGCCAAATAGCACGTCCAGAGGCCTTCCAAGGTGCGTCCAGCACATTCATGACCACGAAGGATGGCTGCAAGAGGCGCAAGAGGCTGGCTGTTAGCCCAGGCCGAGCAGTTTTGATGGTAGGTTGCGCGGACGAATGGAACACCAAACACGAGGTTAAAGAGCACATCTTGTGGGTAGTGTTTGCGGAGGACTGGTGAATCCATTTGATGAAAGCCAACAAGCATATCACAGGTATACATGCCATGCGGCCAGACTTGCTTGATTTTGTATGTCGGAACATGGACAGGTATGACGGATGGCCGTGGCATGGAAATGACAGAGTCAACAGAAGACATCGAGGATTGAGAATAGGCTGAAAGCAACGAGTCTGATGAAAATTCTAAGTCCACTGGTGATGGTGTCAGTGGAGGCATTGGAGACAACGAGGTTGCACGGAGGGCATCGAAATCGAGTTCCAGACGTGGTCGAGTGGAGGGAGGTAGGAGGATCGTCATTGGGCTGCTCTCGGGGGTACCCTGGTAGCGGCGCTTGCCTAGAGCATTGACTGAAGGCTTCGGCGTAGCTTGTGTACTATCTTCAATGATCTCTACATCGTCTGATTGAGCCTCTGGTTCAGAGGGTGTTTGTGCTCGTTTCACCTTGAGCTTCAAGCGAACACCATCACGTTCTCGCTTAATATTGAGGCAAAGATGTGCAGGATGCATAGATTCCTTTGATAAGGTGTGAAGGTCGTCGAAGTCAAGGCACTCAGTAACACCCAAGCGACGGATAAAGACATGACACTCCGATTCCAGGACAAATGGGTGTGAAAGGGATGCAGGTATCCACTGCTTCAGATGGTCCTCAAAGACCTCAATCTTTGTAATGTTGTCGCCAAGAGAAGCGACTAGTTCTACGTCATCCACCAGCTGATAGAACAGAAAGTATTTGCAGTCCGAAACCCATTGCCGTTTGACGGGAGCATGGTCCTTGACAAAAACAAAAGTCAAGTTCTCATAGTGACCGACACAGGTCAAGATCGCTTACTGCATCAAACCAGTTCAATACGAACCACTGCTTAGATTTTCGTTCTATTTCCTTCCGTCGCTCAGCTATACGCTTGCTCTCTATGTCATCCTGTGCGTACTGGCAAAGATCTTTCTCCCACATTGGGTCAAGCTGCTTAGTTATACGTGGAGGCTTGGACATCTTTGCAACTGGAGTTGCCATTGGCAGAATAGTATGATGCGGCCGGAGTGGTTGCACGGAACCACTTGTAAGGGGTGGGGGAGCTGTCAGAATGTCGTGTATGGATGGGACACGCGCTGGAAGGGGTGTTGGTGCTTCCAGGCCCTCGAGAGAGGCCGACAGGGCCTTGTGAAGTTCATAATACCCAAAGCCTTCAGCATCAATCTGTGACGGCAGGTCAAGCTCTTCACGACGGCATGAGTCTTGGTCCAGTGTGGGTGCCTGGTGGACCAGACACCCCCCATCCTCAACACAATGCGTAGCACATTTCAAGTCTGGACACCGGAGAGCGCTAGGACATCGACAATCATCTCGGGTACAATCAGGACCGCATTTGTGGGTTCTCTTCCCTTGAGACACTGGCAGCACGGAAAATCCTGGGCCAAGGGAGGATGCCTGCATACTGGGAGGCACAGCAGAAGGTGGAGATACTCCAGAAAGGTGGGGACTTGTAGCTGGCAACCATGACATGATATCCGGAAAGCGGAGAAGTTCGGGAAACCACTTGAAGAATCCACAAGGTCCATGCTTATAGACTATGTCAACACAGTAATCTCAATGAAAAACAAGGACTTACCCGAGCCATTGGCTTGCCTGCATTGCCATTCCACAGACGAGGCAGTCAATAACAAGTCCGATCATTGTCATCCATAGGGGTGTACCAGCAATGACAGGCAATTCAGCTGGGGGTAGAGACTGTGAAGAAGAGGCCATCATAGTCATCGCCATTGAAGGAAGAGATGGCGGTGGGCGGGAAACAAAGACACCGAGGGCGGGAGGGTAGGGGCATTGAGAAGAGAAAAAGGTTTCCTAAGAGCAGCGGGCAGGAAACACAGACACCAAGGGTGGGAGGGGCGGGGCGGGAGGAATGTTGAGAAGAAGGTACCGCCGGCCAGTGAGAACTGACATAATTAAACTCCGACCGAATTGAGCCGAGCGGCTGACACGCCCCCAGAGTGGGACCCATACAATACCCCCGGAGTGTCCATTAGCCTGACTTTCTGACTGCTGCGAGTACTTGTCACTTGAACACATGATACAAACAAAAGCAAACAAATTATCAGTATATTCACAGCTCTCAGCACCTGTGTCATCATCAAATATTGTGCTAGCAATGGTCGAAGGTGTATCTGGAGAACCCGAAGATGCTGATGAATCTGGTGAGATTTTCACGTTGCAGGCCAAGGTCGGATTAACGTATCATAGGAGTCACACATTTGTTTAGAATCTTTAGATACATTCTTGAGCCTCAACAACATATCTATGTACCCCAGGCTCCCTTTCCCAGAGCCAGTACCACCAGTTGCGAAGTCAGCTGTAATTTATCACTATGACATTATTGACACAGCAAGATTGCAAGAAGTGGGCTCACCCCTTCCTTTTATGTGCAGTTGTAGGACCTGCTGGCACCTACACGGTGCCAGCAGGTCCTACAAGTTCTAGTGATGTTCCGGCCTGGCTTGGCTCGAAAGCCCTGGCTTTGGCTTGGCTTCAGACGGCCAGGGCTTTGAAAAATCACAAGCTGGGCCCAAGCCCTCGACAATGGCTTGGCCCAAGCTGTGGCCTGAGTACACAAAAGGGTAGGCAAATGAACTCAATGATTAGCGGGTAGATAAAACAAAAATCAAACAATATCTATGTCATCCTCATCATCCTCCAGCAGCGAGTTCACCCACCACGCTGCTATTAGCATCTGGTTCAACATCGACCTTGTCAGCTTCTTCAGTGGATGATGATGGACCGGGCAAGCGGAAAAGGAGGTTGTGACGGATGGCGCACTTGACACATTGCAGCGCCTCAATGATGTCGCATTTGAGGTGATTATGACACTTGCTAATGGTGATACCCCCCTGGGAGAATGCGCATTCGCTCGAAATGGATGTTGCCATAATGGAGAGATAATCTTGAGCAATGGAGGACCATACTGGCCCATATCTGTGTGCGTTCATCTACCAAAAAGTAAAAAAGTAAACATCAGTGACGAGGAATGTACTTAATATTATATATGTACCCCCACCATTCGACCGTGCTCATTCTGGATGGTGGTTTTGCCTCGACAGTGTTGAGATAGTGTCTGAAATCAGTGTACCAGGGCCTAGAAGGATCAATGTCAGCCGCTGATGCACAAAAACTGAGGTCGTCATCTTCATCTGAGCTCTGAGCCTCGTGAATGAGTTTCTTGAGGCCGTGGGCTTTGCCTTTCTTCACAGGTAGTTGCACAGCCGTCGCTGACTTTCCCATTGCAAGATAGCGAGTCTTGAACTAAGTCTCAGATCAGTAATACAAAATGAGCAACCACATAATTGAACGTACCTCTAGTTCTGCGCAAGCAAGGACCTCATCTTGCAGGTCCTCTGGCCAATGCTTCTTGAAGTACACCATCTTACCCATTGGATTGAGTACTGTACACAAATATCAGTAACATACAGTGCTCCATGAACAGAACAGGACACACACATAGCCATAATGTATGCTGGCGAGTCGGTTGTCTTTTCGTAGTACTGGTTGATCTTTTGTGCAGCAGCATGGAGCGCGGGAGAAAAACAGGAATATTTAGGCCGGTCTGCACGATTCGACCAAGCTCGATGAAGGGTCTCGAGGGCAGGAATGGCCAAATGAAGTGTAGTCCCCTTTTCTGATGAGAAGACCTGTTGAGCTACATCTGCATACTGAATAAATAAATTAGAGGGAACTTTGTGAATACAAAATAAAACGTACTGAGCGTAGATCAGCAAATTTACCAGCGCGCATCCATTCGGTTGAGGTCAAATGGAGGTAATCAATTTTGGCACGTTTTGCCAGATTGCGTTCTTGTACGCCCATCTCGTAAACAAAAACATCGACATGCTGGGGCCCAGATCAAATTGGGCAATACTTTGTGAATAGTAGACTGGACTTACCTCCTTACTGCCCTCCACACAATTGATCATTACATAGGTTGAAGACCAACGGACCTTCATATCAAGAAGGAGCTGTGTGGGGTTTGAGATGCCAGCCTTGGCCTGAACAGTCTTGTAAAGTTCCTTCTGTTTCGCTGACAAGCGCTCCTTCACACATATTGAGCGAATAAGTCCAATCTCATCACGGTCTCCTTGAGTTGACATGTCGGGCTCCAAAGTGTGAGGGTCATGCGGGTCATAGTGGGGAGCCTTGCTGTACGTGCTTATAAGGAGTTGTGTGCTGAGATTGATGACATGCGCTAAGCAGCTACAATCATAATGTAAGGCTTCACCCAACACAAAATAACATCTGACTTACTTGATTCTGCGAGCTCACCATGGGAATTCCTTATTATATCGGACCTCGTACAATTGAGTGAATTCCTTGAGCATCGTACCATTGTTAGCTGCATTGTCACAGGTAACATGGCCAAGCTGAAAAGATTATATTAAACTATGAATCATTTAGATGTGATAACATACCTTATGTACAATATCAAGACGGTCCAGAACCTTGAAGAGAGTTCCACCGAGCCGCTTGCCATTGTGCGAGTTATTGACTGGTGTAAATCCAAGTAGTGCACTTTCGCACTCCCAATGTGTAGCCATCTTTGCTTCGATCCAATGGCCTGTAACAGCAAAGTAAGCATCGACATTCTCAGCCTGCCAGGCATCGCAGGTTGTGTTTATTGCCCCGCTAACGACATCACTATTCAGCCTCTCCTTAAGCTTCGTAAGATGATTCTTGAACATCCTCATAATCTTGGCTCGAGTTGCCTTCCTGCCCGGGATCTTGATGCCGTTTGTTGCTCAGGCTGCAATGTCAATCATTTCCTTGAATTTAGGGTGCTCGAATGCTTGAATAGGCTATATAACATGAGTCAGATAATAATGTGACTACGAGACGATAGGAGACGTACTTGGTCAGTGGTGACAAGCCATTCAATGGCAGCCTGCTTGAACAGGCTATCCGAGTATGGTGTTGTTTGTGGTGGCACACGAGCACGGTGACCTGCACCAAACTGGTTCGGTGCATGGATGACTGATACTCTCCTATGAGCCCTATGCCCTATGAAATCATTTTCTCTATGATCTGAAGTCAGACTGAGGCTAAGGGAATATTTTTCACCTTTCTTTTTATTTTTCAAGTGTGTACATAAGCAGCCTGAATATTTTAGTACATTTAATTTTGCGATGAGTTTTGCTTAGTCAGCCATGGTGATGACCCAGACAAAATCCCACGCCTGTCAGGTGACTGTGAAAAATATTTCCCACATATGTTGTCCTGGAAAAACATTAGTAAAACCCTAAATACTAAAGCTCGCGTCATTTTCACTCATCAAACAAAACAAAGAAAAGACAGACACACAAAGGATCCACATCATGTGACATTTCTTACTCTCTTTCTGGATTTGTCATCAGGAGTTGGATAGGTCACATGACTTAGCACAATACCCATATGACTCACTATGACTCACTCTGAATATATGACTCCTTATGACTAGAAACAACTTTAAAACTGACTCACTATGACTCACTCTGAATATATGACTCCTTTTGACTCTTGATGACTCTTGAGTATACTAGTAGCACAGCCACATTTATTGTGTATATAAAGACCCCAGTTTCTGAAATAATAAAAAGCAACTTTAAGTGGGAGTTTTCAGCCCATCTAACATTAAGTTGTGAGTAAGGTGTGATAAGTGTCAGCATCAGTGTCAAGAACTGTTCAAGACTGAGAGGAACATTCTCAAGAGACAGTAATACTGCAAGCTCATCATACTAAACGACTAGCTGCGAGCTCACTGTGTGCAACAACCAGCAAGCAAGGTACAGCCACAGTTTTATTCAAATTTCTATTTTCTTTTCTTTTCTCTTTTGTTTTACTTTCACCAGCCTTTGGTGTTCTCTTTCCAAAAGGCATATTCCAAAATATTCGTGTTGTCTCTACGTCCACCTAAGACTCAGAGTAGCTTAGTGGGGAGACTTTAGTAATTGATAGTGAAGCTTGACCTCACTCATCTGAGTAGTGATACTGAGCCAAGGTTTTCTGTGCCTGCTAGGCTTTAGCTGTTGAAGAGGGGACTTGGTAGTAAATCCAAGGACGTCCATTCCTGAGTCTGTTTGAATACTCAAAGTGAGTTCCTTAACAGCAGGTTCAATATTGAGCTAAGAGTTCTACAATAAAGCATTTGACTAGTCTTGACCTTTGATTCTACCTGTTTTGTGCTGAGGGGGTTGATCATTGTAATTCCGCACCATTCTTTTTGGAGTACAGTTTGGTAAGAGGCCCTGTTGTTGAAAGGAAGCTTGAGGAAGAACTTTCTATTTCTTTGGTTACTGCCATACTGTCGGGCTGACCATTATTTGTTTGTTTGTTTGTTTCTGTCAAGTCCATAGATTGGATTGACCATCGTATTTACTGATCTTGCAGAAGTATCTTTAGCTGAACGTACTTTGGGTAGTATACAACTAGCCACCCACAAACGACCACGTTATCAGTCATTGGTATTTGTCTGAATCACTGACCGTGGAGATATTTGTTTTTATAGGTGTTTATCTATAGATCATCTATCTAAGAAGACAGCGGGAGGAAGAGAGCTAGACAAACGAATGTATTATCTCAGTATTGGAAAGAGACTCTGGATGTACGTAGATAGGCACCTAGACAAACGAATGTATTCTAAGGGAACATTAGCTCGTACAAAAAGGAAAGGAAAATGATATAAGGCTTACATCTCAGTATCGGAAAGAGACTGAGATGCGCGCATGGCTAGGACGTTGTTTTAAACTATGGGGACACAGAGAAAATAGGAAAGAAAATAGTATATGAGTTTAAGACCTTTGGCACTCGGCCAATGTCACGAGCGGCTGCATGATGGATGTGCTCGTACCTTTCATCCTGACATCTCCATCTTTACTTCTCCCGACATATGGGACAACATGTTCAGCAATCTTCCGTTCGGTCAGATGAGAGGTGATGATTTGCTGCTCATGTTCAGCCTTGTCCTTGCGAGCTTTGACGTCACCAGGTAGCATCGACTCGAATGAGTTTTGTTTGGCCCATGTGCAATACTTGCCCGCAAAGTTGGCCTCTGCATGCCGACGGAGCGTAGTCGTTTCATTGACAAGCATGCATTGTTTCCTATCAGGTAATCAGTATGTGAGTGTGGTGAATGTGAGCAGACTCACCGGCAAAACTTGCACTTGCGGTGCTTCTTGACTTTGCCATTGGACCTGGTGTGCTCAAATGTAGTGCCGAAAGATTCTTCAATGTCGGCAGTTCTGAGCTCACGCGTTGATGCAGTGTCTGCGATTGACTGAACATCAATGTCAATGAGGATACCATCCTCACCCACTAAGTCTGAGTCTGTTCTTGAAGCTGATTTGCGAGGTTTTTTTGCTGATAACATGTGTTAAGTCAAATCGTGTCATGAAGGAGAAAATAAATGTACACTTTGGGTTTGTACGCGCATCTTCACACTCATCATCATCTGAGATTTCTTCAATATGAGCCTGTTTACTGCTACTAGTGGGTGTAGATATTGCGGGCTGCATCATGGAAGGCTCCAGTGATGGAGCTGGGGTGGCAGCCTGTGGGTTTTCAGTAGTAGACTTAGTAGCAGCCTCTGCAGCCCGGAAGTCATTGATAGCCTTTGTTTGTGATGGGAGGGCTGCCTTTTCTGAGTGCTCGAGAAGGGCAGCTGTCGGTTTTGTCCAACATATGGGACATGCTGCACGAGGCTTGTTGGCATTGGTGGAGGTTGCGGTGTCTGAGCTGATCATTTGAAGGTAGTCAGTAAATGGGTAAGGATGCACGTACAATAAGAGGTTAGCAACAAATATAAGTTAGAGTCTTGACGGACTGTTAGGCCTCCGAACAAATGATAGAGTGAATTGAAGGATCTATTTTGACATTGGAGTGAGAAATGTCAAAAGAAACATGGCAACTCACTCGTATATCAACAGAAACATAAAGATTCGCATGTCTGGAGGACACAAACGTACTTCACTGGTCGATTCTGATGATTTTGACATGTGGTGATGGCGGTGCGAAGCAGAAGACAAAGGTAAAAATAGAATGTGTCCGAGGTGGTACTTACTGTGTACATAACACCCCAGAAGCCCTGGCTTGGGCCGGCGGCTCAGGCTTTGCAAAATGATGGGCCAGGCCCAAGCCCTACGCAAGCCGTGAATTTGGCTTGGCTTGGCCCAGCTCAATGGGGGCCGGCTTTGGCTGGCCCACAGCCCAAAGCCGGGCCATGCACATCACTACCTACACCTCTGCTGACAACATTACAGCAGTCCATACAGCTGCAAGTTGTGCCTATGATATGGAAAAGAGCATTTATGATGGGTTTTGAAGAAAACTATTCTCGAGGAGAAATATCAGGTGTTAATTTCATAAAATAAAAATATCATCATCAGCAGGTTTCAAATCTGCAAAGTTCAAGAGACACAGATTTTAACTGTGACAACTTGACTAAGACCAATGAAGATCAATGTCTGAGATACCATCTATGAGCCAACATTCAAGGCACATTCTCATAGAAAAAATGTTACATTCAACAGGTTTTAAACCTGTTGCATTCCAATAGAAACAGATTTTGATTCTGTTGTGACAACCACTTGGCTAAAGACAACTTTGAGAGGCTTGCAAGCAAACCGACCATGAGCATATTTCAAGGTGTGTTTTTACAGAAAACAAATGTTGCAACTTGCAGGTTTCAAACCTGCATGGTCCAAGAGAAACAGATTTTGACTCTGGTGATCACTTGACAATTTAATCTTTGGCAGGTTTTGAACCAACGCAGACAGATTTATATTCTGTTGTGTTAACTGCTTGACTAAGAACAGTTAGATGCACCTCAAATGGACCCATTCACAAGTAAATTCTCAAGGCATGTTTATCTGCATTTTGTCAGTTCTTTCAATAATATGGTCACCACGATTGATCACTTGACAATTTCATCTTTAGCAGGTTTTGAACCCACACAGACAGATTTAGATTCTGTTGTATCAACTGCTTGGCTAAGACCAGTGAGATGCACTTCCAATGAACTCAATCAGAAGTGAACCCTCAAGGCAGTTCTTTCAATAGTATGGTCATCAGGAAAAAGTGTTTGGACTGGTAGCGCCATGCCAACACTATACTGTGCTCGGGAGTTTCAGTAGCTCCTGGTAGCCGGTCTTGTAGCAGCGGGGCCACAGTAGCTGTTGGCCTATGTTCCATAGCTGTAGGTAGTCAATCAAACAATGTGCAAGCCCATGTACAACAACACAACTACAAGCACAATGACACGACACTTGTGCCGCGATGTTAGAACAAGTAGATTATAAATGCTGTATTATATCAAATAAGTTAAAATTAATGTAAGGATTGATATAAAACTCGTCAGCGAGCTCGAGAACATCACCATTGATCCATCACGTGTCTACCTTGCCTGATCCAAACCTGGGCATCAGATGACCCACTTGCAAAACATCTTGCACGCTCACAACAGACGCAAAACACCATTGGTTACGAGTTGAACGTGCCAGCCGATAAAGATTCGTAGTGGGTTCTGGGTCATGGAGGGGGTGGAACCATTCGATATATGCGAGTGGGTGAGTGAAGTTACCATAGTGAGATGGTAATTTGAAGATCACACATATTTGTGCAACCCGCAAGCCTGCAAGTGTCTAAGCATAATGGTTTGAAGCATAAAATGAAAGACATACCATCAAGATGTCATATCCCGTATTCCGGACCTACATCCGATAATGTTCCCACGCCTCATCCGGACCTTCGGACGCCCTATCCATGTCTCCAGTCCTCTACCCATCCGGTGTAGGACACGAGCTGGCGCTGGGCTCGTATCGAGCTATTTTACAGTACACGTCAAATACCCGTCACATGCTAATCACTTCCCGATGTTATCCGACGCTAACCCGCCAACCCGACGTTTAGGCCGCATCGGCCGATGCAAATTCCCGCGCACTCGTCCTTCCCGTGTCTTGTCCTGTCTTGCTAGCCCCACTAGGTGCGTAGTTCATTATTTCACACATTACTCACGTCGTAGCCAGCGCTATTACATGTTTTCCCATAGTCCGCAGCGCCTCATGTTTATTTACATGTACTTCGGATCCGAAATACTCCGCCGCTACTTTCGCCTACGGGTTCCGCATTTCTACGTACTTACATATATATTGGACTGACCTCGAGCATTATTCATTATCCAAGTAGAGGGGAGCAGTTCCCCGACGCTTAGTGGTCAAACCCGATATTTCGTAGTTCTTAGTTGACATTGCGAATATCATCATTCCTTCACCGCCCATATCAGTCATTGTTATTATTGCGCACACCGCTCGCTCTTCCGATGCTCGCTATAGCGTTACTATTAGTTTCCGACACCCCGAACACGAACCCGATAACCCGAAACCCCGAAAACATCGGACCCAACGCTTTTGCATCGGACATCGTAATTATACCTTCGGACATTGTTTCCCGCGCTCGGACTATTGATCTCACATCACTCACTTACCCCCAAGACTATTCCCAGACCGCAGACCCCTGGGTCGAACGCACTTGTCAGGCAAGTATAGCAGACTAGGCAGTGCAAAGACCACAACACAAATATATCAGTTTGGAGCCATCTTCGTATAGCCCCACTCGGTATTGTAGTTTCTACACCGGATCCCTGCACCTCTGCACATCCACATCCGCGCATCCATGTCCAGATCCCTTTACCTCCGTACATCACACCTCCATACCTCCGCAGCTAGCCTGCATCATTCATCCTTTGTCCTATTGCCCTAATATCATATCCCGTATATCCACACTTCTTGTCCGGACATCCGGTCCGGTCCGATCCGATATACGATAAGCTTCCTAATTCATTTCCTGTGCATATAACGTTAACACAGCCTATTCCTCTATTCGGTACTCCTTGTTTTCGGTATCTCGGTTATACTTACTACCGGTACGCTTACTGATCCGTTAACCTATGCTTCATTTCCGACTCGCGCTTGATAACTTTGCTTATGCTTCATACATAGCCTCGGACGCTTGCTTACTGATCTTTCCATTATTTCCTTAGTATATAAACTCTTGTATATGTCCTGTAGTTCCTCAGTCTGAATATCATATTAGTCCTCGCACTAGATCTCACTCTAAGTCCTCACATCAGTTCTAGTCTATCGACTTAGTCAATATCCATCTTGGGCCTAGGGAGAAATTCCCTAGGCCAGAGCTCCGCTTATTCGATCCCCGCTTATCCACTCATCCGATCCTCCGAAGTTTCCGGACGTTCGTCCGAAACTTTCCCGCGGTCCTCCGGACCTATTCTGCTTCGGACTTTGTCCTTGCAGCCTTTCCTCTGTTTGCTTCTACTTAGGACTTGTCCTAAGTAGCCATTACACATATCCGTATCAGGACGAAACCTCATTGTAATTTCCGGAAGTTCCTCCAGAACTTTCCCGCACTCGTCCGGAAGTTACTTACACTCGTCTGGAAAGTCCTTCCGAACTTTCCCGCGCTTCGGACGTCCTTGGACTTTCTTCGGACATCATTCTGAAATTAAGGGCACATACTCGGGTAAGGGGCGCAGCGCACGAGCTGAAGCCAAGCCCCTCGGAATCAGTCCTACCCTTTGTGCACAGTCTTAACACAAGACCTGTACCACTCTTCCATAGCTCATGATCTTCGACAACAAAAGCAACATCAAAGTGTGCAGGCGCAGCAGGCTTGCGACGGTCACGATTAGGAATAGGTGGATGAGCTCGAAGACAATTCAACTGTTTGAGGTCGCTGACATGACTTTTCTTAGGTAGGATAAGTAGAATTGATTTGAACACGTCAAACCGATCATAGTTGCTGGCGGAAACAGAAGAACGGGGAAAGTGATGGTCGAGGAAAGTTTGAAGCACAGGTATGAAGTCGATAGCACCGAAAATGGTTTGCAGACGAGACACAGACACGTTTGGAAAAGGGCAGCTCTTGGCAACACGGTAGCCATGTGAGGTAAGCAAACCAGATGGAATAAATTGAGACAGTAATGAGTCTGCAGTCCCACTCTCCAAGCCTGCAGCCTCATGGTCCTCGTCCTGATCCTCGAGTGCATCCAAGTCGAATGGTCGGTCACTTTGGGAGGCGCTCCATTGGAGGTAGATACCATGGCAAAATATGGCCTCTTGAAGTTCGAGCCAGTGAGTCATCTGTGCGATATAATCGACTTTGTTGCTCACTTGATAAGCATCCTTCGCATAGTCAATATGTAGTCGTTCAGGGCTTTCTGAGTTGAACCCATCCGTGCTGCCCAAAGAACGAATAGCTTGCACATAGTGGCGCATAGAATGGAATTTGGGAATGTTGAAGTGTTCCCGCAGGCCCAGCTCAACAAAAACTTCCTTGTTGGTGTGAAAAATATCTAGTGCGTCTTGCATTCGCATGAGGGTCGTGTCCGTGTGGGCTTGATACTGTGCATAGTAAATAAAATCAAGGACAGCGCGCACAGCCTGAAACATGCGGGGTTCCACAGCACCTGCAATCACACCTAGAATGACACACTGCATCTCCTTATGCTCGGTGCAAGTCCATTGAGAGACGGCTGAAAGTCCCCGCTTGAAATGACGTAGTCCATGGAACTCGGACATCACTTGAAACCATGCATCAAACTCAGAGTCAGACATAATGCTAGCACACCAGCTAACAATGTGATCTTTGAACACTCCCTTGTGTAACTGGTGGAGGATATCGGGACACATATTACAGTGACCTATCTCCGTATAATACGAGGGAATGGACATGCATAATATCCCGTATGATACGGGCCAGCGGACCATGGGCCCATGATAAAAATATCCTTGACTATGACGGATGGGCCGGGAGGGAAATTATTCCTGATGGAGGCGGGTGGGCCCATGCAGGGAATATATAGAGTAGATGAGTGGGCCGATGTATATGAATATTAGGTAGACGGGTGGGCCGAGGTAGTTGGATATTATGCAGATGGGTGTATTAAGGTAGATGTGTATGAGATAGATGGGTAGGTACTTGTTATCACATTCACGGGTGGGCCCAGACACATATTAAATTAGACGGGTGGGCCGAGGGTATTATAAAATATTGTATTAGACGGGTAGGCCCAGACGCATATTAATTAGACGGGTGGGCCGAGGGTGTTGTATGGGATGTTGTATTAGATGGGTGGGCCGAGGGTGATATAAAATATAGATGGGTGGGCCCATGTGTATCATAATTGTAGACATGATGGAGCTGAGGTAGTTGTACATCAACCAAATCAGAGGAGGTAATAAATCAAAGTTACCGAGTTCCCGGAGCAGCAGGTGATCTCCTGACATGGCCTTTGATGGTGCACAGGTTGTCTTGCAGAACTTGGAATCCGGGGTGCAAAGCTTGTGTTGCCCTATGAGACGCCAAGTTCCGACCACCCAAATTTGGGTCAACCGTACCGACTTCTGAGTTCCAGGACCCGGGAGTCGACAAATGAATATCTGATAACCAGCACACTTCCAATCAGGTAGTATTTCATTGAGCAATGGATCATCCAAGGGGTCCCTTATCGGACTCGGTAGTCAATATAGGCAAATGATAATGAAAACATGAAAGTTGTTATTATGCTATTTTTCAAACCCGAGACCCTGAAACCCATTGTTTAACATGTCCATTTTTCACTCACTGCACAAATCACCGAGTTTCGAGTGCCAAAACCCAAAACTCGAAACCCGGTGTGCAACACATCGATTGTTCATTTACATTACACAGATCATCGAGTTCCGAGTGTTGAGTGCCGAAACCTGAAAATATGTATGGAACATGTCCATTTCTTACTCATTGCACATATCACCGAGTTTCGAGTGCCGAAACCCGAAACTCGAAACCCAGTGTGCATCATGTCCATTGTTCAATTATATTACACAAGTCATCAAGTTCCGAGTTCCGAGGGCCGAAATCCGAACCCCGGACCCCGAAAATATGTGCGCAACATGTCCATTTTTCACTCACTGCACAAATCACCGAGTTTCGAGTGCCAAAGCATGAAACTTGAAACCCAGTGTGCAACATGTTGATTTTTCATTTATATCACACAAATAACCAAGCGCCAAGTGCCAAGTGCCGAAACCCAAAGCCCGAGACCCGAAAATATGTATGCAACATTTCCATTTTTCACTTGTTGCACAAATCACTGAGTTTCAAGTGCCAAAACCTGAAACTCAAAACCGGGTGTGCAATATGTTCATTGTTCATTTACATTACACAGATCATCGAGTTCCGAGTTCCGAGTGCCGAAACCCGAAGCCCGAGACCCGAAAATATGTACACAACATGTCCATTTTTCACTCACTGCACAAATCACCGAGTTTCGAGTGCCAAAGCGTGAAACTTGAAACCCAGTGTGCAACATGTTGATTTTTCATTTATATCACACAAATCATCGAGTTCCGAGTGCCGAGGGCCGAGACCCGAACCCAGAACCCCGAAAATATGTATGCAACATGTCCATTTTTCACTTGTTGCACAAATCACTGAGTTTTGAGTGCCAAAACCTGAAACTTGAAACCCAGCATGCAACATGTTGATTTTTCATTTATATTACACAGATCATCGAGGTCCGAGTGCCGAGGGCCGAATCCCGAAGCCCGAGACCCGAAAATATGTACACAACATGTCCATTTTTCACTCATTGCACAAATCACCGAGTTTTGAGTGCCGAAACCCAAAACTCGAAACCCAGCATGCAACATGTCCATTTTTCATTTACATTACACAAATCATCGAGTTCCGAGTGCCGAGGGCCGAGGGCCGAGACCCGAACCCCGAACCCCGAAAATATGTGCGCAACATGTCCATTTTTCACTTGTTGCACAAATCACCGAGTTTTGAGTGCCAAAACCTGAAACTCGAAACCCGGTGTGCAACATGTCCATTTTTCATTTATATTACACAAATCATCGAGTTCCGAGTGCCGAGGGCCGAGACCCGAAAATATGTATGCAACATTTCCATTTTTCACTTGTTGCACAAATCACCGAGTTTCAAGTGCCGAAACCCAAAACTCAAAACCGGGTGTGCAACATGTCCATTTTTCAATTATATTACACAAGTCATTGAGTTCCGAGGGCCGAAACCCGAACCCCGAACCCCGAAAATATGTGCACAACATGTCCATTTTTTGCTCACTGCACACAGTCCACAATGTCGGGGTTTGGGGGTTTTAAATCAACCTTTCATATATCCATACACATTTTACCAACCCCCGAACCCCGAAATTGTGGACTGCCGGGTTTCGGGGTTCGGGGGTCCCGGAACTCGGAACTCGGTATATAAGACAACAAAAATATCTTTCGGGGTTCGGGGGTTAGTGAAATGTTTATAGATATATGTAGGTTAATTCAAACATGTCTGAAAATTTTCATTCGTCTCAAATGTCAAATCCTGAGTTCCGGGCTTCGGAACTCGGCACCCGGCACCGGCACTCAGGGTTCGGGGTTCAGAACTGAAAATTTGACATTCAGGTGTTCGGGTTTCGGGTGATATCTAAATCAACAGCTTCGAGTTCTGCCAAAGCGTGAAACTTAAAACCCAGTGTGCAACATGTTGATTTTTCATTTATATCACACAAATCATCGAGTTCCGAGTGCCGAGGGCTGAGACCCGAAGCCCGAGACCCGAAAATATGTACACAACATGTCCATTTTTCACTCACTGCACAAATCACCAAGTTTCGAGTGCCAAAGCATGAAACTTGAAACCCAGTGTGCAACATGTTGATTTTTCATTTATATCACGCAAATAACCAAGTGCCGAGTGCCAAGTGCTGAAACCCGAAGCCCGAGACCCGAAAATATGTATATAACATTTCCATTTTTCACTTGTTGCACAAATCACTGAGTTTCAAGTGCCGAAACCCAAAACTCGAAACCTGGTGTGCAACATGTTCATTGTTCATTTACATTACACAGATCATCGAGTTCCGAGTGCCGAGGGCCAAAACCCGAAGCCCGAAACCCAAAATCATGTACACAACATGTCCATTTTTCACTCATTGCACAAATCACCAAGTGTCGAGTGTCGAAACCTGAAACTCGGTACTTCAAATGGACACAAATTGTATTTGTATGTATTATCCATTGGTGTAGGGTTCAAATAACTTGGGAATTGTATTTGTCAGCACTCGGTACTCGGTACTCGGTGATCGGTGGTCAGTGGTTGGTACTCGAGACTCGGTAGTCAATATAGGCAAATGATAATGAAAAATGACAGTTGTAGTCCATGTCAAGGTGAGTGTCTTGGTAGTCTTTCCTTGTCATTCGGCAAAACATCAGCAATAATGAAAAAATGAAAGTTGTTATTATGCTTAACTTCCTTACCGAAGGTTGTAGTCCAAGTCCAGGTAAGTGTAGTGATAGTCTTTTCTTGTCAATTGGTTATCTTGTTACTCATTATGCAGTACTCGGTACATGGTAATTGGTACTCAGTATTTGGTTTTGATACTCGGTACCCGGGAATCAGTAGTCAGCTTAATGAAGGTTGTAGTCCGAGTCTAGGTGAGTTTATTTGTAGTCTTTTCTTGTCCATTGGTTACCAGGTGACCGAGATATAAGCTAAAGAAATCTGAAACATCAATAATGACAAATGAAATACATGTGTGCAGTAAGTGAGTCTAAAGATAAAAGAATGAATATTAATAGTGAGACTTGCACATTATGTCGAGATATCCAACATAACAAGCCTGTGATGTGATCAGAGACCTGGAATAACACCCATATACATCCATTATAATAGCTTAAAAGCTTAGAAAGATTCATGAAGGATTGATGTAATGATAGGCAAAATGACATATGTGTGGAGAGTGACAATAGACATCTTTTATACAAAGTCACATTTATATATGATTCAGGCCGAAAATATCATTACAAATATGTAGGATAGATCGTAAACTACCCAAGGAATCCATACTGCCTACTGCCCTGAGGGTAGGGGGTGGGTAGAAGGGATATAGTGAAAATATGAGTTGACCCAGCATTAAAGTCCTACCACTGCTCAACTAACCATTTTCGATGCTTTGGGTCTTTGAAGTTTCCCACACTCAATTTCTTACCCATTTCACTTCCTCAGTACTCAATTCTTGGTTGATTTGTCTGTAAATTTATGTCTATGATACTTAAGATATTTGAAATGTACCCCAGGTTTCTGATTATGAAGATTCAATGTTTTGAAGGCATGGGCCCCTTATCAGGCGAAATGGCAAGTATACACACTAGCTCACAAACTCCAGCCTATTGTGAGCTGATCTTGGTCATAAGAAGCAAGAATATAAGCTATGCTCATTATATATTAAAAGGTTGGATCATGGATGCAAGGGCAAGATACTGAAAATCGTGAAAAAATGTCACAAGTGCAACTGTCTATGCTTTGTTCCTGGAAAAGGATCCTGTGTGTCCTGGGCTGGTTATATGATATATCTACTCCGAATATGCTCAGGAATAGACTCCCTACAGTCCTTGAGGTCCAGTCCTACAGGGAAAAAACCCCAGCAGGTGAACCACCAGAAGAGGGGGAGGTACACTATACAATAAAGGATTACCCTATGGTCCTGAGCTCCTGATACATTGTTTCTATTGTTGAATAGATGATTGAGATATAATTTCAAAGTCTATTCACCTAGAAATGAACACATAGGAACATATTTTGTATTTTTATGTATATATGCAATATCCATTTAAGCACCAAGTCTCAACTACTGATTACCAAGTCCCGACACTTGATAGTTGATAGTCAGTATTCGAGCTCCGAGTGTTAATATTGCCTACCAATATCTCAGTCAAATGATAACCAAACCAAGACCCAAGTTCCAAACCTGACTACTGAATACCAAGTATCAGTACTTGGGACTCGGGACTATTGGCTGGAGTACCCAACTATTGATTCACAGGTACCGAGAATTAGAACCAAGTACTGAGTACCTGACTACTGATTCTCGGGTATTGAGTATCAGAACCAAATACCGAGTGATTCCCTTGTACCGAGGACCGAGTAACGAGATAACCAATTGACAAGAAAAAACTACCAATACACTCACCTTGGCTTGGACTACAACTTTTGTTCAGGAACTTAAACATAATAATAACTTTCATTTTTCATTATTGCCGATGTTTCAGATTTCTTTAGCTTATATCTCAGTTAAATGATAACTGATGGACAAGAAAAGACTACGAATACACTCCCCTAGACTCGGACTACAACCTTCGGTAAGGAAGTTAAGTGTAATAACAACTTTCATTTTTCATTACCATTTGCCTATATTGACTACCGACCAGTGGCTGAGTGCCGAAGCTTGAAACTTGAAATCGGTGGAAAATGAAATCTCGCAACAATGTACACATGAACATGTTTCATTTCCATAAACAATTCCCCGAGTGTCATGTACCGAGCCCCGAAACCCAAAGCCTGAAGCCTGGACTGTGTTGTCAGGTTAGTACAAGACACTCGGTGAATTGTCAAAGGAAATGAAACATTTTCATGTGTACATTGTCGCGAGATTTTGTTTTCCACTGATTTCAAGTTCCAAGCTTCAGCACTCAGCATCCGGCACTCGGAACTCGGAACTCGGCACTCGGAACTCAGAACTCAGTGAAATGTCTAAGGAAATAGAAATTTCACAATTCCCTGAGTTAGTACAAGACACTCAGTGAATTGTCAAAGGAAATAAAACATTTTCATGTGTACATTGTTGCAAGATTTCGTTTTCCACTGATTTCAAGTTTTGAGCTTCAGCACTCGGCACTCGGAGCTCGGCGCTCGGAACTCGGAATTCGGCGCCCGGAACTCGGAACTTAGTGAAATGTCCAAGAAAATAGAAATTTCACAATTCCCCGAGTGTCGTGTACCGAGCCCTGAAGCCTGAAGCCCAGACTGTGTTGTCAGGTTAGTACAAGACACTCGGTGAATTGTCAAAGGAAATGAAACATTTTCATGTGTACATTGTTGCGAAATTTCATTTTCCACTGATTTCAAGTTTCAAGCTTCGGCACTAACCCGGAACTTGGGACTCGATTTTTGAGATGAAAGACATTTTTCAAACATGTTTGAATCAACCTTTCGTGTATCCATAAACATTTTACCAACTCCCGAACCCCGAAATTGTGGACTGCCGGGTCTTGGGGGTCGGGGGTCGGTGCTCGGGACTTGGGAAATTTGGGGAGATCAATAAAATTTGATCTACAATAAATTTGATTTACAAACAAATTGATTTACAAACTTTTGAAAGATATGTCATCTCACATATCGAGTCCCGAGTTCCGGGACCCCCGAAACCCGAGACCCGGCAGTCCACAATTTCGGGGTTCGGGGGTGATCTACAATAAATTTGATTTACAAACAAATTGATTTACAAACTTTTGAAAGATATCTGTGTCGTCTCACATATTGAGTCCCGAGTTCCGGGACCCCCGAACCCCGAAATTGTGGACTGCTGGGTCTCAGGGGTCGGGGGTCGGCGCTCGGGACTTGGGAAATTTGGGGAGATCAATAAAATTTGATCTACAATAAATTTGATTTACAAACAAATTGATTTACAAACTTTTGAAAGATATCTGTGTTGTCTCACATATCGAGTCCCGAGTTCCGGGACCCCCGAACCCCGAAACCCGAGACCCGGCAGTCCACAATTTCGGGGTTCGGGGGTGGTAAAATGTCTATGGATATACAAAAGGTTGATTCAAACATGTTTGAAAGATGTCTTACCCGGAACTCGGGACTCAATTTTTGAGATGAAAGACATCTTTCAAACATGTTTGAATCAACCTTTCATATATCCATAAACATTTTACCAACCCCCGAACCCCGAAATTGTGGACTGCCGGGTCCTGGGTTTCGGGGTTCGGGGGTCCTGGAACTCGGAACTCAGTATGTGAGACAACAAAAATATATTTCAAACACGGGTAAGTCAATGTGTTTGTCAATCAACTTGATTGTAAATTATATTTTATTGATCTCCCCAAATTTCCCAAGTTCCGAGTTCCGAGCTCCGGGACCCCCGAACCCCGAAACCCGACACCTGCCAGTCCACAATTTCGGGGTTCGGGAGTTGGTAAAATGTGTATGGATAGATGAAAGGTTAATTTAAACATTTTTGAAAGATGTCCCATATGAAATGTCAAGTCCCAAGTTTCGATTTCCGGGTTTCTGGAGTGCCGAGTGCCGAAGCCCGAAGTCCCGAAACCCGGAGTTCAAAACTCGGGACTTAACATTTCATATGGGACATCTTTCAAAAATGTTTAAATCAACCTTTCATCTATCCATACACATTTTACCAACTCCCGAACCCCGAAATTGTGGACTGTCAGGTTTCGGGGTTCAGGGGTCCCAGAGCTCGGAACTTGGGAAATTAATAAAATATAATTTACAATCGAGTTGATTGACAAACACATTGACTTACCCGTGTTTGAAATATATTTTTGTTGTCTCACATACTGAGTTCCGAGTTCCGAGTTCTGGGACCCCCGAACCCCGAAACCCGAGACCCGGCAGTCCACAATTTCGGGGTTCAGGGGTTGGTAAATCTCGGTTTGGGGTTTTGCACTGAAAATTTGACATTTATATGTATCTAGGCTCACCCATATATGTACCCATCTATGTACAATTCCCCCACATCAGCCCACCCATCTATGTATTATCCCCCACGTTGGCCCACCCGTCTATATAATACATACTACGTCGGCCCACCCGTCTATATAATTATACCCCACCTTGGCCCACCTGTCTATGTAATAAATATTTTATCACACCCTCGGCCCACCCGTCTATTTGATATCCCTTTCGTCGGCCCACCCGTATATGTAATTTTTTATGTCGGCCCACCTGTATATGTAATACACCCCGCGTCAGCCCACCCATCTATGTAATATTCCCCTACCTCGGCCCACCCATATATGTAATACACCCCCGTCGGCCCGCCCGTCTATATAACAATATTTGCCTTACATCTCTCTTCAGCCCAGCTGTCTATAATATCCTACTCTACATATTACCCTGATGGGCCCACCCATCTCCATGAATGATCATATTCCCCCGGCCCATCCGTCAACATCAAGGATATATATATCATTGGCATACATGGGCCCACCCGTCTCCATCGGAAATAATATGTGTCCCGGCCCATCTGTCATCATCGAGAATATACACAACATGGGCCCATAATCCGCTGGCCCGTCTCATACGGGATATTATGTAGGTCGGGTGGCCCATATAATACGGAATTTGTCACTGAAGGGGCTCATCGGGAGTGATGCATGAAAAGATATCAGTGTGTGGGAGATACGCCCAGAAAGGATAATGGATTGCATGAAGGCCTTGATCTTCAAAGAGGTGAGGGTCTTCTCCGTTTTGATGGTGTCTGAGAGTTGTGCGAGTCTCATCAACATTTCGGAGAGGTGAGTGATGGTGGTCTCCTCGTTGATTTGGTCTTACAACACAATGGGGGCAGTGGTTTTCTTTACAGCATGCAATGAGACATTGCTCAGGGTGATCCGCGATGTATGCCGCAAGAATCAGAAATATCCGACGAATGTTCCGATCAGCACAGATCATCTCAACTCCACTATGACCGGCCTCGATGAGTGGTTCCATGACCAAACACATGCAGTTATGGAACAGTCAATAGCAACCCAATTGACATCCTTCATCATCTTTGAAATGGAGCATTTTGGAGATAGGTAAGTATCCTATCAGCACTGTAGCATGTTTTGATGGCTGACGATGGACATCCTTCTGGATATTTCCGACAGTGAGATATATCGGCCAGGCAGCTTTATCCCCACAAAAACGGGTCAAGTTTGTTTTGTCGGATGCGAGGATCACTGGTGCCACAAGAGCACCAGCTGGAAGACATTGCTATAACTTATGGTTAGCCAAAGCTATCTAGCCTCGAACTATTGCTCAACTAACCTGCATATTCCACCACCAATCACCTGTCCACATCTCATCATAGACCCATGTTTTGCCTTCAGCATCGGCAAACACTTTCTCCAGCACATATCCAAGGTATTCCTCAAATGCAGGGTTCCCAATCAGCTCGTGCACACACTCTACAGGGTCCCGGTGCCAAAGTTCATGATTTTCGGTGAGTAGCTCATCATTGCCATCTCTTCGATCACCCATTGATGTGATGATGTCACAGGTCCAGCCAGCACCTTTTGGAAGTTTGTTGAGTCTCTTCTGAAATGTGTAGGTGCTCGTAAAACTAGGCTGAGTGCAATTTTTAGTCTAAGGTGTTTTTTGTTACTAGGTGCTTCGGAGAGGAGACATCATTGGGACTTACAATGGCGAGTTTGAGAAATTCATCTGTAGCAGTTTTGTTAACACTCTTCATCAGCCACTCCGCAGGTCCCCACTCCTCCTCATCACTGAACAGATACCATGGATTCCCCTCCAGGCCCATGTCAATCTGGTTTGCCCGGATTTCTTCAAAATTGGTCTTCCCAACTCCCAACACATCCACAACTCGCCCTGGGTACACTTCGGCAAATCTGCCAGGCTCATTATTGTCCGCTATTTCCTTGATTCTGGCCCTTTTGGAACTGTGCTCCTCATTCAGCTCATGGGCATCAACTTGGGCCCTCCTTTGTGGAAATTCATAGTCAATATTATCAGGTATGTCATAGTCATATTCTGGGGGTGTGACAACATCTGACTCCTTGCCTGACTGTTCGTTGCAGGACATGTTTTGTTGAGCGACCACGAGATCCCATTGTTGGCGACATGCTGGTGTGTTTTGGATATGTAAGGTAACATCTTTGCATCTCGCAAGCTCTTTGAGACAAAAATTGCAGCATGGTTTGTTGTTCGTGTGGGACTTCATGGGGGACTTTGTTTCAAAGGTATGTAGATCATTTGTTTGCCCTGATTGAGTGTCTAATCCAACATGTGTCTCAGATCCTGACATTCCGAGACATCCCGTTGTGCCCTGTGCCCTATTGCAGCAGTCGGACATTCTTGGCACCAACCTTATCGCAAAATCAGGACCAAGGTGTGCTCTTTGCTTTTGATCTCATTCCTTGCTCATTCTCTCAACTCTAACCTACACTAATGTCATCAGCCGCAAAGTCTGATCACCATTCTCGTGATCGCCGTCCTACTGAGAGGGCACAATATATTTGTGAGTGATCCTTTCTCATTCTTCTCATTATTGTAGCTGATTGAATATCGTTTGCAAGCTGAGACTCATAAGGACAAAGAAAACCGTCAGCATGAACAGGCCAACAAAGCTCTGCAACGGCAAGATAAGGCTCGATGAAAGGCCAGCCAAGCATCAGAACGTGAAGCATACCAGATTTACGGACGTGCAGGTTGTTTTTATTTCATGTTGTCACCCTCAATGCTGATGTTTGCAATGTATGATGGCTCACTAGCACTTACTGATTCCACGTCTCAAGCATCGGCAGCTCCATTGGTTCATGATCCTGCGGTATGTGTCTGCCTCTCTTGTTACATTAATTCGACTGACAGGGTTTTCATTCAGTTTACCAGCCAGACTGTTTCGACCCCTGTAAGGGACTCAAGGCTTGTTGCACATCAAAGTGTAGTGCCACCTGCACCAAGCAGGATTTCTTCAACTGGCAAGGTTAGTTTATTAGACTTTATATCTACTTCTATGATGACACTTATATACAAAGACTCCGCGCCTCAATACTCTGACACCTGAAAAGGCAGCTGAACTGTTGCGTCTACGTGAGGCTGTGCTTGCCAAGCAGGCCTCAAGCCCTCTTTCTGTGGGGTCTCATGGTGAGTACCTCGACTATACTTACTATTAGTTCACAAAATGACTTGATGGCAGGTGTTTCTTGCCCTATTTCAGGTCTCAGCAACATGATCACTCACTCTTGTAGCCCTACTGATGAGGATTTATTTGACGAAGCTATCGTGGATCTCATGGACTTCAACATGGATAGTGACCAGGTCACTAGTCATAGGTCTGAGTCTCCCTCACCTGATGCTGAAGGGTTAGGTAGACGTCGACGCAGAGCATCTGATAGTGATGTTGACGATGGACAAGTTTGTAAGGCTATCAAGATTCAACAAAGCAAAGGAAGACTGAAGGCCGCTGATTATGAACCATCAGTTCATAGTATCTTTGGTGTGGCCTGGGCACTCTATTGCGGCTGTCTATGTACTAAGGACCCTATGCCCGATCGCATGCAGGAGGTCACTTGGGCAAAGTTGGCATGGAACGAAGCATGTAAGAGATTGAATACTTGCGTTGCATATGATGCAGAGATTCTAAAAATGGTCAGTTTTTTCTTCTGGTAGACCATATATCTAAGTTCTATCTACTAGATCACTTCTCGAGGCTCACACCTTCATGGCGAGGTCAAGACCAAAGTCCGGCCATATGTGGCAGATGAGTATGGGTTTGAGACGAGTACTAAGCAATCTGTCATTGATAGAAACATTGCACTCACATGGGAACTCAAGAAAGATTTCGCCTTTGTTTACAAGGTAAGTACATAGTGACTTTCTTCGTGCATCAGTCTGACTTAGTGGATGATACTATTCTCATCAGACTCGCTCTGCAAATGGTAACAAAGGCCTATATGGTGCGAAGATTATCCAGAAGGGTGTCAACACAATATGGTTCCGTGATAAGAAAGATGAGGGAGTCTTATATCCTGAGTTTTACAAGCCGTTTCCGGAGGTTGGACTGGCATTGCTCTTGACTGCGGTATTTTTTTTTGCCATATTGAATGTATGCTGATTGATGGCAGATTGAAAGCTGCATCGACGAATGGAGCAGTGGTGCTCAAACAAACAAAATGTTCACAGTCAATGAGTATCAGGATGTCCTGGATGAACACCTCACCAATCTCGCAGACTTCGATGAGCACACCAAGGCTCAGGGCCTGCTACCAAAACTGTTGTCTCGTCTTCATGACAATGGCCGGTGAAGGTACAACAATTCAGATGGTGAGTCTGAACAATGTTGGGTCTTGCAGAATCTAGCTGCTATTCGACCCTAAAGGGTTTCTGGACCAGGCTCAAGGCTCAGAGGAGAGGAAATATCATGAAAACTTGCTGAGTACTCTGACTCATACTGGTAACTGGTGAAAAGATAACTTTCTTATGTAAGCTACAAAAGTGCCAACATAAGGTAAGGTAAAAACAGTCTCTACAAGCCCAGCCATAAATGAATCCCTACACCGGTATGTCTCTTTGCTGGTTCTCAATGTCTCATCACAATCTCTCTGACATCATTCTTTAGGATTCACTCGAAGGCTGACCCTATTGGTCATGAAACTGGCTGCACCATGCCTCAGAGTGCCTTTGATGCTGCAATTGAAGAGTACAATGATCACGGGGGTTTCTTCAGTGATGCTGTGAGTGAGGATGAGGAGGAGTAGAGAACTTAGTACAGACTGCCATTTCAAGTAGATAAAAATACATTATGCTGTTTTTAGTTTTTTCGTAGTTGGGTTGAATGGGTGCATAGAATTATCATCAACTATCAATAGATACTGCTGACAATCACACATATACCTTATGCAATATAGTACAATTTGGACCTACTCCTACAATATAGCTACTTTGCTTGGCAGCAATAGGGCGCTATCACAGGCTATATTGTGGCAGGACTATGCTATCAGGTGTGTGATAGTGGGGGGTAGCTACCTGACTACCTGTCTAACATAGGCTATATAGTGCTATACAGTAGCCTGACTTTTTCCTGATGGTCACCATGATTGATTTTTTTATTCTACTCTTATTGCAAAAGACATCGGACTTCTCCTGGGCCTCTACTTCAAGACCTGTTTGTCCAGCAATTGCTCAACAAAAGTGCTGATGGCAGACCACAATGGTGGGCCAATGATGTTCGTGATTGCATATGGTTGAGCTCAAGGGTGATGTTAGAAATTAATGTTAGAACTGACAAAATGCAGGATGAATGTACCTTGAGGATTCACTTCTGAATGGATTCAATGGGAGTGCATCTAACTGGTCTTAGCCAAGCAGTTAATATGACAGAATCCAAATCTGTCTGTGACAGGTTCAAAACTTGTCAAAGATGAAATTGCTAGTGATCATCAGAGTCAAAATCTGTTTCTCTTGGACTGTGCAGGTTTGAAACCTGCCAATGATAGCATGTTTATTTTATGAAATCACACCCTATCCTATACCAAGCACTGCATTTCTGTGCGTGCCCTACATTACATGTCCATCTGTTGTCCAATCCAACACTGCTGGTGAATTTTCATCATTCTATTTTTATGTCATGCTGAAGGATACTCCCAGCTACAGACCACAATGTATAGATGCAACAGAAGCATTCTCGCTACATTCTGCTGCAAAACTAGTACAAAGCAGTCATACCTGGGTTGCATCGAAAAAGATGAAACAGACCCGGATGATATTACTTTGATGAATACTTCAAAATGTCTAACTGTCCCTATTTGCTTTCACTTAGGTCTCTGAGAATCTGTACAATGAAAAATATTTTGCAAGCAGGTTTTGAACCTGCATGGTTTGAAAGAAACATATTTTGACTCTGTTGCAACATCTACTTGGCTAAGACCAGTGATATGAAGCTCTCAGGAAAGTACACATGGGTCGATGTCAAGGTGTGTTCTAACAGGGAAAAAAAACATATATCAATCATGAGGAAATGTCAAGGTGTGATTTCATGAAATAAAAATGTTATCATTGGCAGGTTTTAAACCTGCACATTCCAAGAGAAACAGATTTTGACTCTGGTGATCACTTGACAATTTGATTTTTAGTAGGTTTTGAACCCACGCAGACAGATTTAGATTCTGTCGTATTGACTGCTTGGCTAAGATCAGTTAGATGCGCTCCAAATGAACCCATTCAGAAGTGAATCCTCAAGGCACGTTGTAGAAACAACAATACTGCGAGGAGCAAACAATGCTCCAGGCTATATCTGTAAATGTTGTGAGGTCGCGCGTTGCCTAGTCTGCTATACCTGAGACGACAAGTGCGTTCGACCCTAAAGGGGAAGCGAGTGCAGCAAGGATCTGGTAGTGTGCGCTGAAGCGAAGCGCGAGAAAGCGCAGGTGCACGCAAGGCGCGGGAACGCGCGCACGTGCTGCGCGAAGCGCGGGAAAGTGCGCGCGTGTATGCGGAGACGATAAAGAGTAAGAGTGAGTTTGCTTGGTGCCAAGGAGTAGATTTCTACTATATTCTGATAGGTGGTAGGTGGTAAATAAAGTGAGAGGTAAAGTCTAGTAAAGTGGAAACTAAAGTGGCAAGTAAAAAAAGTCCCAAAGGTCCAGTCTCTAATAATATGTACTGCTGGCGCTTATATGGCGCCTAAGCGCTGTCATGCGGAGCCGAAGCGCTACCGAGTAGGTATGTAAAGATATATGTAAGTAAGGGTCCATGGTAAAAATAGAGGTGGAACGATATGTAAATAAGAGAAATGGGAATATACGTACTAGAGAGCTTGGTGGACAGTGGATGGATGCTTCTGGATGGCTGGCGCTGTATGGCGCTCAAGCGCGGGAACGCGCGCGCGCGTATATACATCGCGAAGCGCGGGAATGGTGCGCGCATGGTGCGCGTTGCGCGGGAAAGCTGCGCCTCATATAGGAATAGCTGCAGGTAGCATACAGAGTGATGCTGCAAGTCGTGCTGTGTACTCCCTAGTGAAAGGTGCCATATCACACCATGTGAGGCACGAGTCTCTACAACGTTCATCTGCATTTTGTCAGTTCTTTCAATAGCATGGTCACTGTTGATTCTTTTATCCTTGACGCAAAGTTCAATATATGACCAAAGTCTTGATGCAAACTCAGAATGATGAGTACAAGAGCAATTTAATTCTCTCCAAAGGTCTTGACTTTGTTGAAGAAGAAGAGCAGATTACACATCAAACTTTCAAGTTTAATCCTAATGACCTGGGGAATGAGGAAGAATACACATCTGTCAAGGCAAAGATTCAAAAGAGCCATCTGGCCACTATTCGCTTATGTATAAGGTTGAGGTGCACTGTATTTGAGACCTACTCTTCTCTTGCTTTTTGAAAGTGTTGTATTGCAGTCTGTATTCAATTCATCTGTTCAGCTGAGGGAAAGCAAAACATTGCGAGTGACAGGAAATGGTAGACTAGCCTTTCAGATAACCCCAAAGCATGATTTGAGGCATTTGTGCTCAGGATGCGGAGCCACATCACATGGAGCCCAGAGGTGTTCTTGGACACAGAAAAGTGCATCTACAAACACCATATAAAGCAGATGTTTGGGAGCGCGAGCCACAATGTCAAGGTGTGTTCTAACAGGAAAAAGAAAAAGAAAAAAAACCACATATCATTCATGAGGAAATGTCAAGATGTGATTTCATAAAATAAAATGTTCTCACTGGCAGGTTTCAAACCTGCGCAGTCCAAGAGAAACAGATTTTGACTCTGATGATCACTTGATAATTTCATCTTTAGCAGGTTTTGAACCCACACAGACAGATTTAGATTCTGTTGCATCAACTGCTTGGCTAAGACCAGTTAGATGCGCTCCAAATGAACCCATTCAGAAGTGAAGCCTCAAGGTACATTTATCTGCATTTTGTCAGTTCCAATATTAATTTTCAGCATCCTTCTTGAGTCCAATCATATGTGATCCTTCCATTGTCGGTTGTCACTCATGACCCAGTTGTTAATACCAAGACATCACAAACATCATAGGCCCACCATGGTGGTCTGCCATCAGCGCTTTTTCAGAGCAATTACTAGATAAACAGGTCTTGAAGTGAAGAGCCCCAGAAGAAGTCTGATGTCTTTTGCAATAAGAGTAGAATAAAAGAATCAATCATGGTGACCATACTATTGAAAGAACTGCCTTGAGGGTTCACTTCTGATTGAGTTCATTGGAAGTGCATCTCACTGGTCTTAGCCAAGCAGTCGATACAACAGAATCTAAATCTGTCTGTGTGGGTTTAAAACCTACTAAAGATGAAATTGTCAAGTGATCACCAGAGTCAAAATCTGTTTCTCTTGGAATGTGCGGGTTTAAAACCTGCCAATCATAAATTTTATTTTCTATGAAAACACATCTTGACATTGTCTCACAAATTGTTTTCTCAAGAGCTCAACTCAACTGATGTTAGTCATGTCATTGCCACAATTGATTCAAAATCTGTTTCCATTGAAGTCTGCAGGTTGCAGGTTTGAAACCTGTTGAGCAACACATTTTTTCTATCAGAACATGTCTTGAATATCTTCTCATAGACAACATCTCAAATATTGATCTTCATTAGTCTTAGTCGAGTTGTCACCAGAGTCAAAATCTGTTTCTCTCGAACTGTAACTGTGTAGGTTTGAAATCTACCAATCATAACATTTTTCTTCTTATTAGACAATGGTGCTGTAACAGGCCTATTTTTGTCAACTGGCTCATCTTCATCCATAGATCCTGCACTATTGGTGGGAGTGTTACCAGGTAGTAGGGGTTTTTTTTGGCCTTCTTCAGGTTCATGTTCCCACTATCTCCACTGCTGTTGTTTTTCTGCTTCTTCAACAAAGTTCTGACAGTCTGATCTGTAAGGCTGGGTTTGAGTTTGGCAAGGAATTGTGAATGAAATGGAGGTAGATGTTTATCTTTATCTTTAGAGTTTGACAGTTTTTGATTGAAATCCATGGTAGGGGTATGGGTACTGTGACCACAGACTCATACCCATTGTAGGTGAGGAATGTGAAGTGATGAAAAGTGGCTGGTGTGAGATGTACTCAGATGGTCCTCTGTGTGCGAGCTAATGTCAGCCAAAGGGGATTGCTACTGAGAGGGTTCCTCTATGTATCTAAATGGAGGGAAACACTGAACTAGATGCTTAGTCAAGCCTGGTTAGGCGCGCGATGATGTGTGGAGCACGGTTAAGCAGAAGTGCTAGTAGTGCTACTATGTGTTGGTGCGTGCTGAGCAGATGTGAGGCACGCATGCAGGTGGTTGGAGCACAGCAACTCTAGATGAGTTGAAGGGGGGACCTAATAGGGGCTAAAAAGTGCGCACCACAAGGGACTACTTTGAAGGTAAACCTATAGGGAGAGGTATACAGTACGAGGGAAGTAATGTAGTAGTAGTCCCGAGTATAGTCAACTTATACTGTCTAGAATCTCACTTGGAGTAGGAAGGGATAGGAAAGGTAGTAAATATGTAAGGACATGTAATAAGGCTGCAACACATTTTACAAGCCTCGAGGTAAGGAAATTCACATACCAATGGGGTTTGGACGGACTATGGATGGACAAGGGACCTTCCTAATGCATTTCTGAGGTATCCGAAGCACAGGAACGCACATCCGATGCACGGGAAAGTGCGGGTTCATGTTTGCACATGAGTTAATTGTTGGACAAATGATGAACAAGGATAGGGAAACTGATAGTGCTCTATACTCCTTGACGCATATATAAAAATGGGCTCATTCCTGCCCAGTGCAGTTCTGAGCATCACAGCAAGACGATGGTGGTTAATTTGTCAAGAGAGAAAAACATACATGAACTATGTAAGTAATGTTAAGCGCTAAAGCGAACTGAGAAGCGAAGCGAGTGCGTGATAATATGTAATATAGAGGTCCATGACATAGCATTATGGAATGTGTGCATATAGCGCCAGCCATACTGTCAGAATTCACAGAAATAGAATAGAAATATGCACCGACGAACCAAATAAACATGGAATGGATGGACAAAGGACGAGCATGACTCTGTTATGACAGTCACACAGCTAAAGACAACTTTGATAATCTTGCGAGCCAACCGACCATGAGCAAATTTCAAGGTGTGTTTTCATAGAAAAAAAAATTCATCATTGGCAGGTTTCAAACCTGCACGTTCCCAAAGAAACAGACTTTGACTCTGGCAATCACTTGGCAATTTAATCTTTGGTAGGTTTTGAACCCACACAGACAGATTTATATTCTGTTGTATTGACTGCTTAGCTAAGACCAGTAAGATGCACTTCCAATGAACTCAATCAGAAGTGAACCCACAAGGCACAATGAAGATCTGTGCCTAAGAAAATATTCATGAGCAAATATTCAATACATGTTTCAACAGCAAAACTATGACATCAAACAGGTTTCAAAGAGGAAGAAATATTGACTGATTTTGATGCAGTAACTATAAGTTAAAAAGAAGCAGCTAATACTCAGAGGGATTTAGGATCGACAAAGATAGACCTTTGGAGTGTGTAGAGTTCAAAAAGCGCGCAAACCAGAGTCATGGCAATGACATGGCCAAGATCATTTAAGATGAGTTTCTCAGAAAACCATCTATGAGAAAATGTCAAGGTGTGTTTTTATAGAAAATAAAATTCATCATTGACAGGTTTCAAACCTGCACAGTCCAAGAGAAACAGATTTTGACTCTGGTGATCACTTGACAATTCAATCTTTAGTAGGTTTTGAACCCACACAGACAGATTTAGATTCTGTTGTATCGACTGCTTGGCTAAGACCAGTGAGATGCACTTCCAATACACTCATTCTTTACAACTGGGTCATGAGTGACAACCCGACAATGGAAGGATCACATATGATTGGACTTGAGGGTCTTCAAAGATCTCAACTTGGTTGAATAAAAAGAGCAGATTACACATCAAACTTTCAAGTTTGATTCCAATGACCTGAGGAAGTTTTGAGATAAAGCAGAAGTATTTAGACAATAGTGCGACATTCTGCACTTAGGTGCTTTCAAGCGCTCAGTGTCAAATAGCAGTTATAGCATATTTTAGACTGTGAGTCCCACAATATGCAAGATGATGGTAGAAAGTTGTTTAGAGTCAAAAGATACATGGTGCTATGTAAGTAATTCTAAGTGTGTTCTCAGTGCACGGAAGCAAGTCAGAAGCGCAGCAAATAGGCAAAAATATGTAAGTCGCTTCTGAATGGATTCATTGGGAGTGCATCTAACTGGTCTTAGCCAAGCAGTTGATACAACAGAATTCAAATCTGTCTGTGTGGGTTCAAAACCTGCTAAAGATGAAATTGTCGAGTGATCACCAGAGTCAAAATCTGTTTCTCTTAAACTGTGCAGGTTTGAAACCTGCCAATGATAACATTTTTATTTTTATTCTATGAGGGCACACCTCAACATATGCTTATGGTCAGTCAGCTTGCAAGCTGATCAGAGCTGTATTTAGCCAAGTGGTTATCATAACAGAATCCAAATTTGTTTCTATTGGAGTGCAACAGGTTTGAAACCAGTGAAACATCACATTTTGTTTCTATAAGAACATGCCTCAAATATTTGCTCATAGATGGCATCTCAGACATTTATTTTCATTGGTCTTTAGTCAAGTTGTCACCAGAGTCAAAATCTGTTTCTCTTGGACTGCGCAGGTTTGTCTGAACAACCACCTGAGTGCTTTGTGCTGAACAGAAAAACAAATATGCAAAGCCATTGTTTATAACTGGTGTAGAGACTGACATCTCTGTGGCCTTGTAGAGGTCTAATTTCCGATGCATGTATCAATGCTAATCATTACCCCAATCATTCCCTATCATATCTGACTCAATATGCACCGAACCCAAAAATCATCGGACATCGGACATCGGATTATTGGACTTTGTGTGTACTTGTCCTACCTATGTCCTGTCTCATTGTGCTAGCCTCACTAGGTGCATAGTTACTTGTTTTCCCATCACTAATGTTGTAGACCACATTATTACATGTCCGCAGCACCTCATGTCTTATTACATAGGACATCAGACCTGAAAATATTGTGCTACTACTTTTGCCTATATGGTTCTGGACTTCTATGTATCTACATAAATATTGGACTCCCCATAGCATCATTATCATCCAAGTAGAGGAGAGCTGTTCTCTGATGCTTAGGGGTCAAACACGATATTTCGTAGTTCTTAGTTGACATTGCGAATATCATCGTTCCTTCACCACCCATATCAGTCATTTGTTATTATTGCGCACACCTCTCACTTTCCTGATGCTTGCTATCGTGTTGTAGGAATACAACACAGAGTGGGGCTATACAAAGATGGCTCCAAACTGATATCTATATGTTGTGGTCTTGCACTG